CCTAAAATAATCCCCAGCCGAGTCGATCCCCGTCACGGCGACGAGAACCGCGCGACTTTCGGCGTTCGAACCCCCTCGATTGTCGTTCGTGCGACGATCGGGCGGATCGAGGTTCTAATCTCTATAAAGCCTGATCTACAATGTGCTCTTTGGGTCTAGAAACATTCTGCTTTATATCAGCGAATAAAAGCTCTTCAAAAAATTGGTCGACAACGTACGATTATACGATGCAAGATGTACAATTTATCAACTTGCTCAAATTTTTCAAATGTATTTATTGGCTACAAAGTAGAATGTTTCTAGACGCAAAGAGCGTTGTAGATCAGACCTAACATTCGAACCGAGGGGTAAATTGCTGACCAAAATCATGTACACCAATGTCTACTAATGCCCAGTAGGCATTACTTTGTTTTATTATCTTATTTGATCTCGTTTTATCTATTTAGATTCTTCATAATACCCCAGCAAGACCAAATAACACCCACTAATGCCCAAAAAATGGGGGTAAATCGCTGACCAAACTCATGTACAACACCAATGCCTATTAATACTCAGTGGACATTATTTTCTTATTTTATTTTATCTCGTTTTATCTATTTAGATTCTTTATAATGCACCAGCAAGGCCAAATAATGCCCACTAATGCCCAAAAAATGTCTAGTAATGCCTAAAATCCGAGGGATAAACCGCTAACCAAAATCATGTACACCAATGCCTACTAATGCCCAGTGGGCATTACTTTCTAATTATTTTATTTCATCTTGTTTTATCTAGTTAAAAATTTTATAATGCCCCAACAAGGCTAAATAACACCCACTAATGCCCAAAAAATGCCTATAGTAATGCCCGAAATCCGAGGGATGAACCGCTGACCAAAAACATGTACACCAATGCTTACTAATGCCCAGTGGGCATTACTTTGTCTTATTATCTTATTTTATCTTTGTATAATGACCCAGTAAGGCCCAATGCCCAAAAATATCTAGTAATGCCCAGTAACGCCCGAAATCTGTACACCACAATGCCCTCAGCGGTTTATCCCTCAATTCTTCCTCGAAGAGGGCGAGTGGAGAGAGAAAACGCGAGGACTCTGCGTTGCAGACGCGAGAAACCAGCACCCACGAGAGAATTGAGGCAAGAGCGGTTCATAATATCAAACGCAAACATCTCGAAACGCGCGACGACCTGAATTTTAATTCCACGCGTATCCCTCGCGCATCTCGTCGCGGCGAAACATCGAAATTACGATGTATACGTTCGCGGAATAAATTACGGCTTAGACGCGGCTCCGTTCGAGCGACATTTTCCAAGTTACGCGCGAAGGATAACCGAGCTCGGCACCGATCGGCCGGGAGGCCGCTTCTCCGTTTATCCGCGTCTCAAGGAAGGTCGAGATAAGCCATGCCCGGAGATCGTTCCTTACGATTTAGCACGTTCGAGCGGAACGATTAGAGGTGTGCTCGCGCAGGACGACGTTTCCCGGCACGGGCGCATGCATTCGCCGCGAAAGATTACGTTAATGCGCTCGCGTTCATGTCGCGATACCCGCGATTAAGCAGAGAGGAAGAAGAGCGAAGACCCGAACGCACTTAAAGAAGACCCGAAAAAAAAACTCGAGCTTAAAACTCGAGGGAAATAATCAATTGGGGGTCGAGAAAACGTAAGCAGCCACTTTGAAACTTGAGCAGCTCTGAAAATTCCGAGTGGTTGAAATTCTCAACCCGAGTCGAGTGTTTGGTCCCGGAATGGGCCTCAATTATTCTATTGTCTTCATTTGGACCTCGGAGGTTTAAAACGAGGGGGAAACCGCTGACTAAAATCTTGTACACCAATGCCCACTAATGCCCAGTGAGCATTACTTTATCTTATTATCTTATTTTATCTTTATAATGCCCCAGCAAGGCCTAATGCCCAAACTAATGCCCAGTAATGCCACAAATCTGTACACCACAATGCCCTGAGCGGTTTCCCCCTCGGTTTGAAACTTGAATTTGAGGCGCAGATGAGTAAAAAAACATGTGTTTAACCTCATTCTAGCCCTCAAAGAGAATGTAATAAATTATTTCACTCTCTTTGAAGCCTCTTAGGCCGAAGAGGATCTACCGAACCACTGTTGATTGCACTCGCATTAGCCTCTTTACCGCTCAAAGGGAAATTAGCGACTCTTTTCAGGCCTCAAGTCTCACCGCTCAAGTTTTCTCGCGCACGTTTCCAGGCTGTGACGTCTCTCGTCGTCGGCGGAGCGACGTGGAAAAGAGTCGGCGATTAAAGGACCCACCGATCGCCAAAGACCGCGTCGGACGGTCTCTTGGAGAGGCGCCAGAAATTACGACATTTTCACGTCGCGACAATGAGTTATGACCGTGAAACGTTATTTACGCAGCCGCGAGCGTCCTCCGCGCGCGAAGAGCCGACGGAGAGTCGCGCGCACCCCCTCGCGAGTGCCGGAGAGCGCGCGCGCGCGCGCGCTCAAGCGATTTCGAGATTCTCGCGTGTACTCGCGTTAAATGGCCGCGAATTAAAACGACCTTCTCTCTAATGTACGCGCGCCGCTCAGCGTTTCTCAACCTTTCCCGGTTCCTGGCGAACTCGCGCCGGAGATGGATCTCCCTGTCCGTTCGATTCCGCCAAGCCGCGCGGGCCGAACTTGTCGCCCCTCGTTTATCTCGACACGCGTCCGCCTCTTGATTCGTATAATCGGTATTATTGGAGCGGGGATTATCCGCTCGGCCGTCGGCTTACGTTACTGAATTTTACGACTCCGGCCGAGGAGGAAACCGCTGAACCTAATCTTGTACACCAATGCCCACTAATGCCCAGTGGGTATTACTTTATCTTATCTTATCTCATTTACCTTGTTTTTATTTTATTTCATAAATATTATTTCATAAAACTTATGAAACTTGTAGATTATCTAATTCCTTGAAAAGAACCGCAACTCGTGTGGTCGAAACGTCGGAATCGAACAAATAAACCAGCTACCAGCCTATAAAGTCGTGTAACAATTCTTTTTACTGTTAATCAACTACTGGCGACTCACACTCCTTTGTTGTTATTTTATTTTATTTAAAAACAATTATTGTTCTTGTCTCTCTCTAGTGTAGAATACCAACCACTTGAGAAGGACCACAAGCCGGATGGTCGAAACGTAGTGGATGTAACATTCAACAAATAAAGCTTATGCCAGTTGTGTCGATTAAACATTCCAAAGATTTTATTTTATCTTTATAATGTCCCAGCAAGGCCTAATGCCCAAAAAAAATGCCCAGCGATGCCCGGTAACGCCGCAAATCTGTAACACCACAATGCCCTCGACTCCGGCTAAGACGCCGTTTCAAGGACGAACCCGAGACGGACGCGAGACGATTTATGCAACCAAGTTGCAGAAATCCTCGCCGTTGCGTTCGCGGGCGTCGAGTCGGACGCGGGCGATTAGACAATTATTCATGCCGCGCGCGGCGGCAACGACGTCTCGCGAGTCGGCAGAGGAGGAAAGAAACGCGAGGACTAACCACCTCTCGGCGGTGTGCTTCAAATATTCAGCGGTTCGCGCGCGCACACGCCTCCGTTTCGTCAGTCCCGTGACCCACATTCGGGGAATCGGAGCGTCACGTTGGCCCGCCGTAGGAAGCCGGAAGTGCGGCGCCGCGGACGCGGGGGGCGCGTTCGCTCGATCGGGGCTGGGGTAAAATAGAGTCGCGGAGAAACAAAGGGGGACGAGGAATAGGCCGAGCGCCGCGCTCGGCGAGGGGTCGACGACCCGAGGTGCCACCTGTGCGTCCTGAACCGGTCTCGTTTTCGGCGCTTGTTCTCGGCGACACACACACACGTGCACCCTTTTATCCCACCCTTTCCCGGTGCTCGGATGATATATTCGCGGCGGCGAATCTCCCGTTTCCCTCGCTCTCCGGCGAGAGGACGGTCGCCGAGTATGCGACGTGCAACAAGTATCTACGTGCGTCTATAAGCGGATACTCGGACTTTTCGGGAGGCCGCCCGGAGGCAGCTCGGTATCGCCTCTTTAAACGCGGACGCTCGCGCGTCTTCGCGCGGCGCTTTAACGCGCGCCCGCACCGGCGCGTACGTACGCGCGCACGCACCGGGCGCCTTCCTGCCTGCGTGCGTGGCATGCGTGGCCTACGTAACGCATCAGCTGTTCGAGCAGGGACGAAGAGGACGAAGAAGCGCGCGCGGCCGCGCTCGCTCTCTCTCTTTCTCTCTCTCTCTCTCTCTCCCGAGACGATCGCGTTCCTCGACCCCGCGGAAACGAGGCTGGCCGAGCGGCGCGACCTCCGGGGAGGAGGGAGGCGAGACCTCCGGGGGAAGATGGCGGGGGTTGGCCGCCGCGCGAGGTTAGGAGGTTAGGTTATCCAGTGCGGCTGCACCGGGAGCGGAGCTTTCGAACTCCGCGAACGCGCTGTCTCTCTCTCTCTCTCTATCTCTATCTCTCTCGTCGCGACGGAGAGTTCTCGCGGCAGCGCGGAATAGCCGGCGGTTTCGCGCCGCTCTCGCGAGAACGCGAGGCACCGCCGGACCAGGTCGATAGAAATGGCGCCGCCGAATAGGTAGGCAGGCAGCCGGGCGGGCAGAAAATCAATCGCGTGTACGGCACGCGGCGTGTTTTGACGCGCCTACTCCGCTCATCCGAGCGGATCGGATCGGGTCGGCGCGAGCGCTCGCGCGAGCCGATCCCACCCTCCCTCGTCGCGCTCGCGCGAGCAACTCGCCCTCTCTCGCCGCGCCTGAAATTACGGGGACGGGCGGCGTGGAGGCCACCCGCCGAGAGGGAGAATCGCGCGAACTCGCGACATCGGATTGGGGAAGAAACGCGGCGAGAGAGAGAGAGAGAGAGAAATTAAGTGGAAAAGATGGAAGCAGGCGCGAGCGACGTTACCGACCGAGGGAGTCGGAAAAGCGGGGCCGCGAACGAACGCACGCACGCACGCATTTCGCTCGTACTCGCGCGTTCGCGCGACGTTCAACTTATCTGCTTGGCTTACTTTTGATCACTCGGTCCGTCGTGGGGAGTTTCTGCGAGTTGTTGGAGGTCATGCTGTATATTGGGATAAATGACGAGTGTGGGCGCCTCTCGTTCTCCTTGTCTCGCTCGCTCGCGCCTCAGCAGCAGCGGCAGCGGCAGCAGCAGCAGCAGCAGCAGCGGCGGCGGACTCGCCTCTCGCGCTGTCCTTGTCGCTCGCGCCCGCGCGCTCCGCCCGATCGCGCCGTATCTTTCCTTTCCGCCTTCCTCCACCTCTTTCTCGCGCTGTTGCTCGTCCTGCTCCTCCTGCTCCTCCTCCGCTCCTTATGCCACTTGTCCTGCTCCACCTCCTCCTCCTCCTCGTCCACCTCCTTTTCCTCCCTCCTGCTCTCGCGTGCTTGTTACTCGCGCGAGATAGCGGCTACCTTCAGCGTATTACACCGGAGGGGTTGGGTAGAAGGAGAGGGCGGTATTTTCACCTCGAGAGCCCGGCGCGGCCGCCACACACATACACATGTACACACGCGCGCACGGAAATACGCCGCCGGGAGGGAGAGAGCGGACGCGCGGACGGCGGGGGATCGGTCGGTCGGTCGGTCGGTCGGTCGGTCGGACAGGCGGACGGGGGGGAGGGAGGGAGGGTGGGTGGCGGAGAGGTGACGGAAGTTATCGCACGGCGCGGCACATCGGTGCCTAGGAACTGTTCACGGGCGTTCTTGACGGAGCCACCGACGCGAAAGGAAAAGGGGGGAGAAAGGGGGAGACTGCTCTCACGCTCTCGCTCTCTCTCTATATCTCTCTCTCTCTCTCTCTCGCTCTCTCGCGGGCGAGATCTCTACTCCCTCGGTCTCCTTCTCAGGGCGGTCCCCTTCTCGCACCCCGGGGGGAAGGGGGGGAGAGGGTAGGCGCGACCGTGCACTCGCGGGTGCACGCGAGTATCGACGAGCGGCGGGGAGCGGAGAGAGGGGAGAGGGGATGATCCCCGTCGGGCTCTCTAGCGAGCTCGCGGGCTCGCTTCGCGATCGCTGGACCACGCGTGAGCCGCACGGCGGCGGCGGCAACGACGACGACGACGAGCGGCGGCGGCAACGGCGACGACGACGGCGGCGGTAGCGACGATGGCCGATTTAGATGGCGACGACGACAACTCGGTTGACAGGAACGGAGTCGGCCGCGATTCGGAGCGAGCGAGTCTCCCGCGAGCGCGACACTGACTACACCACGATTACGGGCAGTAGTTGGAAAACGAGGACGGTGACGGTCGAGACAGCGGCAAATGGTGACGGCGGTGGCGGTGGCGGCGGCGGTGGTGGTGGTGGCGGTGGTGGTGGAGGCGGCAACGAGGACGACGTGGAGTAGTTCGGCGACGGCGACGACGACGGCGACGACGACGACGGCGGCGGCGGCGACGACGACGGCGACGACGACGACGACGGCGGCGGCGGCGGCGGCGGCGGCGGCGACGACGGCGGCGACGACGACGACGACGATGACGGCGGCGACGGCGACGTGGACCGGGACACCGTAATGACACGAAGCACCGCGACACGTAACCGCGAACACCGACACTCGCGGTCGAGGCACCACGCCGCTAAATTTTATCTACAAGATGTCTGTCTCTCTGCTTCTCCGCGGCGCGCACACTGACGGCTCCTCGGCGGGCAGGAGGAGGACGGTCGCGCGCACTCCGCCGCGCGCAGCGATCATTCGAGACAGCCGATTGGCCGCGCCGCCACCAGCTGCCGCCACCCGCGCGTCCACCGCGCTCGCCGGACGCCGGCCGCGGCGGAGCGGCGGAGGCGCCACCGGCCACGCGACTCCGCCGTCGATACCTTTCGCTCCGCCGTCCGCGATCCCGGGCCCCCCCGGGGCCTCATTCGCGAGAAACGCGAGATTTTGTTAACGTCAACGGAATATGACACTTGATATGAATAAGGCCCCCCCCCCCCCTCTATTGGTTTGCCCTCCTCGCGTTGGAAACGCGAGAGGAAAGAATGTCCCGTCGGTTCAGGTCTCGGTCTCTGAGAAAAAAAAAGACCATTTTGGGGCCCGCAATTAGCAATCGAATTATTTGGATTGCTCGTAATTCTACTCTGGAAAAATGTTGACCGTTTTCTTTTGTAGTTAAGCAACTTAACATTTCGGTCAGTGCCTCCCGAGTGAAAATTATCTCTGCGTTACTGAACTTCGACAGGGCTAATTGAGAGAATTGATTAGCGTTACTTAAAAATCTTGGATATAGGTACACACTGTAAAAAAAGTATGTAAGTGTGGGTTGTTAGCAACCAAAAATGGATTGCTGTCTTTTCTTTCCCAGAGGTGAGAGAAAGTGCTCGAGAAGCCCGTTCACTTTAAGCACACTTATTGAGATAAATAATTAAATACAACGGAACACGTAAGCCCGTTTATGAATCCCCCGATGGTTTTCGTGTGAAAAACGCGATAAAGCTAAGCTATTTCTTCGGATACTGGTGCTACCGGTTTACTGTTTTATTCCGAAAGTAATGAATGTAGCGAAATGCACAGGTGTTGCAGCACCTCGCGTGCAACGGCGCCCCGTATGCAAAAATCATCTAGAGTTACGATCATTCGCAGTCCTTCCTTTTACTTAAGTCTTAAACTCCAGCGAACAAGTTTTTATAGAATTCGACTTCTACGCGTTTCATTTTCTCACTGCGACGCTTAATCCTTTAGTCTCACGTCAAACTCGACTTGATACTTCAGTAAATTCTCGTGTAGTTCTCCGAGCATATCAGCACGTAATTATAATCGGCAAATTGTATCTTTAAGAACTTGGAAAATGCTGCGAATAATAAACGTTCCTTCGTTCGTATTAGACTTGCCAATTAGATCGAATTGAAGACGTACACGCGTGATCATTTTTATAAAAGATAATTTGAATCACAAAGGATTAATGCTTACAACTGTTTTTCTAATCGCCACTCGCACCTTTTCTGTATGTTGCGTACGCTCGACTACGTTCACTTCACTCTACTCCTTTCGATCAAATAATTTGACCGTTAAATTATTTACTTAATAATTTATTTAACAACCAAAATGAGCGAACCCGTCACGATTTATATCTTGACGGTCAAGTCAACGCATTTATATAATCGTCGAAAGACGGAAAGACACTGACAATGAGCGCAGTTTCAATCAAGTCCCAATTAATTACTGATTGTAGGAAAAGAATTCTTTCCCTCAAATTATGTAATTTGCTATCCCTTGTCTAATTTGTTTCCATATGTATAATAAATACAACGCAAACTACACTGTAAAAAAATTACATGTAAAATTACAATTATTATAGTGAGTAATATTGGGACCATCTATTAATGGTGTGTATTTACACACGTCAGTAAATTTACACCTTGTAGGTAAAATTATTGCCTTACGTAAGAAGTAAACTGCCTGCTTTTAATTGTGTAAATTTTGCAATTTTTTGTAATTTTTCATCGTGTATAAATTGATATATTTCCGTTATTAATAGTGTAATCGCTACACTTATTATGTATGTGATTTTACATACTTTTTTTACAGTGTATCCTATTTGTATTAATGAAATAAGCGCGCGTGTCAGATATTAGATGGAACAAAAACGCAGGTGTTTAAAAGCGCGAGATAAGAATACCGCTCTCTCTCTCTCCGTAGTGACCTCTGTTGGCCATTGTCTACTTCTTGGGCGAAATGAGACCTATTACATAAAGTACGGTCTAATCCGTCATTTTTATTTAGTTTTTACGAGACGGGGTGCGCCGTCAGTTTTCACAATCAGCAATCACAATGCGATATCTGGCCTTGCGCTCGACCTTGCATGCGCGTGCACGTCGCGGCGTCGGTAGAACAGACCGTAATGATTAGAGATCGTAAAGTATTATTGCTCTATCCGGACGTTGGTAGTTATTCCGCGTAAACGACAGCTGGTAAAGCTAGTCTTCCGTTATCGCTTGCTATTTGAATTTTGCACATTTGTGCACCAGCTGCTCGTTATTTGCATCATATATCCTACGCGTGTACCGTCAGATCGATACAAAAAGTCATCTGCTGTTCTTCCATCAAACTTCGGAACGTGTATATTAACCCTTTGGAGCATACATTTTGCTATTGAACCATTTTATGTGAAACTTTGTATACAAGGGTTTTTGGGGGGTCGCTGATTACGCATCCGTTATCAGATTTTTATAATTCAAAATGGCGTAATTAAAAAACTTAAAAGAATAACATCATTCAAATTGGACTCTAACGCCATCAATTTAAAGAAAGATATCGAGAATCTTAACCCGGTATATAATTCTTTGACGTGGCATAGTTATTTATTTATTTATTTATTTATTCCCCGTTCCTTCTCGTTGTTTGACTTAGGCATTTTATCACACTGTCACTTTAAGGTAAGTGACTGATCGAAGATATACTTTCAATTTGTTATTTATGTATCCACTTTACACATTACTATTGTACAATTAGTTTGTATTTTTATTTTTAATTTTATTTGTTTAACTAATTAATTTTTTTAACTAAAGTAAATCTTTATTCTATTTAATGAGAATATTTAATGCGAAATCAATGTTTTCGTCGATAATAAGAAATCCTATTTTCTTCGCTGTAAAACTTATTGTTAGTAAACATTTCATAGAATTAAAGTAAAAATTTTTTAATTTAAAATTATCTACTGTTTGATATTTAATAAATACTTAAATGAAAAAATGTATGTTTTAATTTGTTTATTATTTTTGAAATTTAAGTTAATAAGTTATTAGGAGCCACCCAATAAATAATTTTCGTGAGTAAAGTAATATTTTTTGGACTAAGATATTTTTTTATCAGTGTACGCAACAATCTATAATCTCCTTAGAAGCATTTAATAATTTTATGTTCTAACAATATTAGTTTTATTTAAACACTATAATGTCACTTCAAGCTTACATACATTATTCTGACAATAAAGATCTGAACATACGTTATTTTCTATCTAATATTGTTTCTTTTTCATTCAAGAAAATTATTCTTAAATAACAAGCATATATTTTTCTTGATTGAATTACGTAAAATTGCTTCATTCAAGTAAGTTTTTCTTCCATTAACGCAATATAATCTCATTTTAAGATTTCCACGTTGAAACCAGACATATTTTCGAAAGAAATAAATATTCTCTTTGTACTGTGTAGCCTTTGATAATTAACCAGCGGAGATGTGCCTCCGTTATCATCTTGTAATTATAATTATTAGTTGCATTTGAATAAGTCTACATTTTGCAATTCGGCAATTCAATGGTGAAGACATCAGTCGATCGGTGCATACGAGTCACCTCTTGCGGTCAACATTCGCTAGCGGTCCAATATTCGCGCAGCATGAGAGATACATGATACATGCGTGTTATCATCGTGCATTATCGAAACTTCTTTCGTTGCTCACTGGGCTATCAGAATTGGCACAAACAACCGGCAACGTTGGTATTTACCGCCTCCGGCATCTGTGAACGCTACATGGTCTGACAACACAGTTGTCGTCCATCATTCAGCCTCGATGTCTTCTTCATTTTCGGCTGAAATGAACGGAACCGTGTACTACGCTATGGTGGGCTTGCGGGAGAAATCCGGTTGCAAAATCATCGCGGATTATTCCGTGGATCCAAATCCGATCTATCGTACGATCGCCCTTAGTACCGTCGACGACACGAGAACTACCGAGGATGACAAGATCAGCATTGACAGAAGTAGGTAAGATCTTTTAGACTCGTGTGCATAACAATCACATACCAAGAGTAATATGCTAATTTAAATTCGAGAACGACATTATCGTAAAAAAATAACAATATAATTAGGCTTGTACATTTCATCTGCGGCGAAGCAGCACATTTCGCGTGCCAAACTTGTTTTTCACTTACAAGAAGCGCGTTAAATTAATAAGATACACTATACAGCGAATATCAGCAGTTTTACTTGTTATGCCATGTGCTGAAATCGTTCAACAAGTGTAATAGGTCGCAACGGATTAATTAACCCACGATAAGATTAACGTGCCTTATTACTGTTACTCATTTATCTGTGCTGCAACGAGTATAAAATTAAATTCTTCCACAGATACACGGTACACATGTTGATCGGGGAACTTTACTACGCCTGTTTGACATCGAAAGTGGACTGCCCTTCATCAGCAATATGGGTAGAATCGTGCTGTCAAATATTTCTACAGAGACTACGGAGCGTGTATAAAGAATTACCGTTGGCGGGTCTATCGAAAAATCTGACCAATCTCGCAGAAGACGATCTCTCGAAGCCATTGAAGAAAATGATTGTAAGCGATAGGACGATTTTATGGAAAGGAAGTTTACTTTAAAGTCGTCGAATTAAATTTAAAAGAAAGCAATTTATGAGCTATTTAAGTACGTTAAAACTTTTTGGCTAGTTTTAACAAATGAGAAATGATTAAACTGGAGCACAAGACATGTTCGTAATTTCGTAGATTTGTACAATAAATTCTCTAAACTAAGCAGCACTATTGCACGTAAAATATATCATATCGATATATAGAGCAAAGTCCCCTATTACGAGATAGGCTTTACTCATTAATATGAGAAAGCGGATTTCTCCTAAATTATTATAATAGACGTCATCTGTTGGTTCCACCATAAATTTTGATTCCAATAAATTTATTGCCCTTGGAGTGAAATCTGTTTAGCGGAAAATGGATTGCTAGATCGTTTAATCGTAGCAAAAAAAGATTTGGGATTGAATTTGGACGTTGAAAACCTGCTATCTCGTATTAGAATCCTATCTCATAATAAAGGACTTTCCTCCACATGTACATAAAGAACGGAAGTGGCATTATTTCAGGAAGAATATAATCAAGGTAACAGCTGTAAGAATTTGACCTCAAAGCTGGAGGAAGAGTTGGTTGAGGTACGTCGCATATTGATGAACGGGGTTCAAAAGTTGATTGATAGAGGCGAAAGGTTGGACGAAATCATCCGAAAGACGCAGAACCTCGAAATTTCGGTGAGACAATCTCGACGCATTTTTCTCTCCCTCTTCCGTCTCTCTTTTCTACATAATCTTTCGACACGGGAGAGCTTATGAAGTATCAATCAACTACGTAAATTGTAATAATTGTGGTGATAACGGTGAAACGTTTCATCTCTTCCAAAAGTTAATCCAAAACTCAGAAAATCAAAATTGAGCAAAACATAAATTGTAAGAAATTCACGAAATAGTTTAAAGTCCTTAATACTCGATCGAGTTAATTAAAAGCTACCGAGTCGTTTTAATAAATCACGAAATGTATTGAATCGCTGGTAACTCTCATTGTCAGTTAATACAATTTTCTATTTGTTTAACACCTCCGTAATGAGAAACGTCTCTGCACCGAATAATCGTAACTATGTAACGTGTCTGGCGCGCAGCTTTAATTATAAATGGCTCTATCGAAGAAATAAATTAATCTTAAACGCAGGGTCGCGCGACTCACTGGCCTCGGTAAACTTATAGCAATCGCTTATCCGTCGCAATACATAACATTTGTGAATATTTTTACAGTCGCGGGATTTCCACGTAGTGTCAAGGACTCGGCAAAAGAGAAACAGTAGCCTGAAGATAGCAATCGTAACGTCAAGCTGTATGTTCGTGTTAGTCGTATTGTTCGTAGCCTTGATATATTGGTTTGAAGTTTATTGTAATAATTCTTATACGCATGGTACATTAATGACTACCCGAACTAACTAGAAAATTAGAAAACCTTTTTACATTGAGAGACAACAATTTAAAAATCAGTTCTATTGGAAAAACTCGACAAGCCGCTTCCTATAACATAACTTCATGCGATTATACTGTTATTATCATCGTTGAAGCTAAATTTGAAACATGTTATCATTGATAGATATAATCTCGTTACTCTCTATGTAATCTACGCTGTTTTTCAACGAAAAAGGCGTGAAGAAATTTAATATGTCATCGAACTCATGTGCCACGCGTGCATGTGTGTTTGTGATGTGCTACAAGAAACGTGTACATATATGTATGTATAACATACATACATATATAACAGTTTCCTTTTCACGAGAATCATTCGAGCCGTAATGAATTAATTTAATCTAATCGAATTCAACGTTGCGAAAATCTACGTGTCCGTTATGAAAGTTCAAGTAATCCCTCAAAAATATAAAATCTCACAGAATATAAAATTAAAAATTCATTTCATTAAAAATAAAAATGCCAATAATGCTAGATTTTAGAAATTTTGGAATAATAATTAAAAAGATGACATTAATTAAACGCATTAATAGCGTACTTCAAGTTATTATGTGTGTTTTCTGATTCATAACTTAAATAAATACTATTAAATAATAGCATTTGTCATTATACATAAAAAGTATAGGTCTATAAGTATCTTGTAATCTTGACAATATTCTGGAAAAGTTTAGTGTTTAAAAACTTTTTACTAAATGCATAGTTTTATACGAAAGCTTTTTATATGAGATTTTATAAATAAATGCAATATGTTTTTCTTTAGTAATGGTCAGTGATTTTTTTAACTATAAACTAAGTCTACTTTTTAATAGGAACTTGTACCCCGAAAATATTGATCGAACTGTTTTTCTTTTGCCTGTTAAGAGATTTTCCCGATTTTACGACAGTCTTATAACTATGCGAATCCAATTGAATACAAATTTTATTCGATAAAAACAAATTGACCTGTAGAGGCCCTCCACCATCCCCGCCGATTTCGATCGGCGGTCCTCTTTTCTTTGCAATTATTTTTCTTACAATTTACTTGACAATGTATACAATATTATAAAAGAAATAATGACATTATAAAATTAAAAATGTAATATACAATACAGTACTTCTTTCGAAATTACATATGAAATATTCGGTATTCGTACAAGAACACAAAATTCTTGCAATATAAAATACGTGTCTATTGCGTTGATTTATCAATTTGTTTCAAATTATCACATAATATTTCTAAAGTTAATTTTATTTCATTTTATTTATGTAATCGCGACCAAAAAGATGTGTATAATCCTATTTACTTTTCTATCTACCCGCGTTTCAACTTAAGACTAGACTAGACCTGAAAGCGTTTTATCAAAACCGCGACGCGATTTATAAAATGTTTGATTTGGGGTCATAATACGCGCGCGATTGGGATTTAATAGAGGTCTTTTCAGTCTCGCACACACGTGCGAGAATATATAAAGAAGAATAACCCACCCGAAGTTTGACAAATAAATGCAATCAAATTATTTTGTACATTACTTAAGTCACATATTATATTCATTCTTATTACATTGCATACTGAGAAAAAGTCTTTAAAAACTTATTTGTGGCATATTAATGCAGCTTATAATGCAGCTATAATTTTATCTATCTTCGTATCGAGTTATGTCCCTGCCTACCCGAATCCTTACCTATGCGTATTCTGATGCGTCCTATCCATTTTTCTACCTACCCATATTTCAATTTTTAATAGACTTAAAAGTCCTTTATTAAAACCGCGACGCGATTTATAAAAGGTTTGATTTGTAATACGCGCGCGATTGGGATTTAATAGGGATCTTTTCAATCTCGCACACATGCGAGAATATATAAAGAAGAACAACTTCACCCACCCGAATTTTGACACATGCAAAAGAAATCAATTATTTTGTACATCACGCACTTATATACTCCATCAGAGTGGCCAATATTGACCACTTACCCCCATTGTATCCAGTCTTCCCTCGTTGGGCCAGATTGGACATACCTTTCGTTGCTCCTGGCCATACAGTCTGGTCATTTTGACCAGAGATCAGGAAGGAAGAAATTTCCTTTCATGATCGGTTTGTTATTGTCACCGACAGATATTACGTACGATTTTCATTGTATACGAGCGATTTTAATTATATTATTCGATCGTATCGAAAAATACACGACTACGAGAAGTTAATAAAAAAGAATCTTAATTCGAAAAAATTTACTGCATGAAACTAATTAAATATATTTCTACTTTCATTATTTACTCGAGAGTATGGACCGTTTTCTCGTGACTCAATTATTAAATTCAAAGTTCAAGTCTGCACACAGAAAACATTTTACTTCGCGTTATATTAATTTTAATTATATCCCGCGATAAATTAACACTACTAATATGAATGAAATTAAAAAAGTACTAATGTCTTGGAAATATTTTTAAAAACCGATCGCGAAACTTGAACGCGAATGTATGAAGATGCGTATGATTATGCATGTTGTTCATGCGCATCTTAAAAGTGTCGGGAGAAATACCGAATAAATAACGTGAGATCCAGAATTAAAGACCCTTCCCGCACGATAGATACTAATATTGTAATTGGATATTATAGGTAATCAATAACCGCCAATAATGTACAATAATAATTGGAAATGTTTCAGCGTTCTCGACAAAATTTTACTCGACAAAATAGAATCTCACGTTATTTTATTTTATGATATATTACAACCAGAGTTGGGAAAGTTACTTTATAAAAGTATCTAGTTACAGTTATACAGTTTTTTTGCCAAAAATGTAATTAGTTACAGTCACAAGTTATCAATTCTGAAAACTAACGCGTTACAGTTACATTTACTCAAAAAGTAACGAATCGTTACTTTGCAGTTACTTTCTTGCAATGAAAATAAAAATATCAAATCTGCATTTAAATTGTAAAGTATCGATAAAGGCGTTTATGCGCAAAAAATGTAACTGAGTTAAGTTACAGTTACAGATGGAGAGAAAGCAACGAAGTTAAATTATTTACCAAAAAAAACAAGTAACGAGTTACTTCCCAACCCTGATGACAACATAATTTCTTTAATATGAAGATAACGGATCTACAATCTACGATGTAGATTTGTTACCTCAGTAAAACAACTTCTTACTCACCGACTCGATGCGCAGCAGCGGAGTTTGCTACGTTGTCTCTGTAAAATACCAATGTAGAATTCATGTTAAAATATTGTTCAAGAAAGTTACAATAATATTGCAAAATATAATTCTTATGCGAGTCCAACTTTTTCGGTTAGATGTTCACACGATTATCGCGCGAGAGCTTTTCTGCAAAGGATCTTCACGAGAATAAGATTTGAGGAAATTTACAATTGCTTCTTCTCTAATTATTATTTCGAGATTCAAGAATGATGAAACGAACGACTCAATAAACCGGAACAAGATTAATTTTACACAAAATAAAAAATAACATTTACCTTAAAGTTGCTCCGCCGGCGCCGGATGCCTATTCCAAAGCCTCCTCCTCCACTCAGGCTGTCTTCTGACACTCGCGGAAACGATCGCGCGATTTTACACTCCCGTTTGTTCACATGGGCTGCGAAAAGTCTTTAAGTTCGATTATTTAAACGGCACTCCCGAACGCGACGAAAATTAAGTTTCAAGCACGGCGTGAGAGAGATTCATCCGAGTTCGATTGTTCTCCTACGAGACGATCGAGACTCTCGTAGGAAATGATCGCGTTACGAGGAGCGACGCGAGTACACGCGGAATATCCGCCTCGCTCGACTGACTCGCGCCGAATGACTCCGTACAATAGACTGTTCTCGACCGAGGTGTTTTTACCGCGCTACGTCATTTCTTGGAACCGGTACGCTCGGCGACCGAGTTGTTTACGGCGCTACCCAGTTTTCTTGGAATTCAACGCTCGGTCTATGGCGCTACGTCATTTCTCGGAATTCGGCGCTCGGTCAACGGCGCTCGGCAAAAACAAAGTCACGCCGTACGCAGGTACATTCACGCGACGACACTCGAGTTAGTGGCCCGCGCCGTTCCGCATATTGTATCATTCTTTCGTGATACGCGTTCGCGACAAGTGCGGGACGAAATCGCGATCGCTGAATCCACGCGATTTTTAACCGAGACGGATATCTCGCGCGATCTACACGTGTTCACTCTACGTTCACGAAACTGTGAGTCGAATATCATCGCGATACGTTTAATTGAAGAAATAAAGTATCAATTAATCTTAATCGTGCTTAATTATATTTTAAGATTTACTCGTCGATAACTTAAATTTGACATTTGTACATCGGTGATTTCTGTTGATTAAAATTCGTACCATCGGATAAGTTACAAGGAATACCTAGTGCAAATAGAATAGTAATTGTGTGCAATCGTATATTTTTCGTGTTTTCTTTCCGCGTCGCGTGTGATTAGTGCTGAGTGTTGTACAAAGTGCCACGAGGTTTCCACAATCATCCCACGAGGTTTGGTCAATCGTGTCACGAGATTTGGTCAATCATGCTGCAAAACGTAAGTACACACTTTATATGAGAATAATTACGAGAAATTAGATATGAATGGTTCTTTTTTATGTATTTGGTAGACAATTCGTTTATTTATTACTTGTTCGTACTTGAGCGCGCGAAATCTCAGGCCTAGTATTTGTGAAATATAATCGCTTATTACTTAAAAACTATTATTGCCTCGACATTTTTGTATTAGAATTTTCCTCTTGAAATTGTCTAAAGAATTTGTGATTAAAAGAATATCCGGTGGTTTCAGTACACCCTGTATACACATACGTAACAATTCCATATAAGAGACTGAAAAATAAGATAGTTGAATATTTACAATTAATATTGTCCGAATCGCGAGAGTTAATGACAGATCGGTACGGTATATTCAGTCTGATTAATTTTACGCGATGGATAATCTTGATATTAATTATAATTCGAAAACTGTCGCAACCTGGAGAGTTTCGTATGAATATTTTTACATTATTACACAGTAATTGTGAATACATTTTGCATTTTTCTTGCTACATTGCATTCTAGCATTTGACTTGCACTCAACTTGAACCCCGCGACAATTATTGTATTGATACGTACTTTTACATTTACGTAACTATTTCTTCTAATTAACGTGATTATTTTCGTATAAACTCGCACCGAGTTTGATTTTCTTAGCATATTATATATATTTGATCGTGTGATTTTTAATCTCTGCTTTTCGTATACATGTATACCAAATTTATTTCATGGCCGCAACTTTTCATGGTACCTATCTGTCTTGCAATATTGGAGTATCTTACATTACACAATTACGGAATAGCTTATAGCTTTTAGAGAGAAGTTGTATGACCATTGGATTCTAACCCCTGGTCCACAATTTTGCTTTAAATAAGCTGTAAGCCTTAAGCCGTAAGAAATTAACCAATCATAGGCATTTATTCCCCTCACTCTCACCTGTGATTGGTTAATTTCTTACGGTTTAAGGCTTACAGCTTACTTAAAGCAAGATTGTGGACCAAGGGTAATGCGTCGTCTACAATGTATGAAGTAAGCCTGGAGTAAGGAGTAGAAGTGAAGAAATAAATCAATTTTATTTCTTACTTCTACTTCAGCTCTTACGCTTACTCTCGGCGAATCCAAACGCCATCGGCCAGTGTTACAAATATTTTAAAAATTATGCCAATATATTAGCTTCCTTACACCAAAAGCTGAAAGTTATGGTTCTCTCTTACTCATTACTCCAAGTTTAATCCACGTATTGTAGACGACGCTTTACACGTGATGCGACGCGTGACGTGACGCGTGACGCGCTAGAACTGAGGAAACGCATCCTAAGTGACGTGAAAGCTTTTATATATTGATGATTGATATTTTCTTCGCTAGTGATAAATTACAGACGAGTAATATTAGTTGACTTGAATTAGCAGAAAATTTTTTTATATCTTAAATTATTCATTATTATTGAAGGAAAACTACCAGAAACGTACCGATGGAATTTCGCCTCTTCTTTCGACAGGAGTAACTAAATTTTGGCTAACTTCGGGGTTAATAAATATTTAATTAAAACACTATTTGGATCGCTCGCAAACCTTTTTAATCACGCTTCATAACTTTTCATATGAAATAAAACAATTTCCTAGAAAAAAAACTTTGCTCAATTTATCTATTTCGACTAAATGCCAGATAGAAAAATAATTGATCAATTACAAATAAACGAGTGACTCACAAACCTTTTCAATTGCACTTCATACGAAATACAAGCGGTTGCAGATAGGAGTTATTTAAAAACACGTTCATTTCCGGTGAAGTGTGAGCGAATAAAGAGATCACAATTAGGTATGTGTGAGTATCAACCTTATATGTCTTGTTTTAAGAGTGAAAAACTGTAGAAATACAAAATTATGATTTCTAATCTAATTTCTTTTTATTATCTATCTATTATTTTTTATTATCTATTATTTATTAATATCTATTTATTAATTAAATAAAATATATTTTAACATTCATTAAGTAGCGATTTCTATGTAACCAAATGGCCACGTTCAGCGGGCACAACTGTTGAGTGAGCGCTCCACGATTTCGTGATATGATTGGCTGGATCTAAAAATATTAACCAATCATACTGAGCGCTCGCTCAACAGGGCTGCGTTCAGAAACACCACCCGGGAACCCCAGCGTGTCATTCTATCCTTGTTGCTCACCGTATGTTAAACAAGGATAAAATGATACACCGGTGCGTTCGGGTGACGTTTCTGAACGCAGCCCAGTTGTGTCTGCTGTACGCGGCCTATGTGTGGAAAGAATGGCGTCGCTGTTGAGATTCGCGGTTAATCCCGTTGAACTGCGGAATGCGATTAAAAATAAACACGATTCGGCCGAATCATCGAGACGTCTGCATTTTATCGCGGCTCGTAAGATTCAGGTTAGTTACAAACCGGCTGTACCAACGCGGGATATATATATTAATAGATATACATTTAAAGCTTCTAACATCTAGGCTTGGTTCCGCGGTATCATTACTCGCAATCATCTACGTAAACTTCACGAAAACGCGACGATTCTGCAGCGTTATTGGCGCGGTTATCGCGCCAGGATGTTCATTAATCAGTATCTAGTCGAACGTGTTCACCAGATGTGGCAACATTATTACAATAACATGGCAACGAAGATCCAGGCTGTTTGGAGAGGCTATTGGTCTCGAAAAACACGGATCAACTTTGTGCAGTTGCAGCGATGGTTGAAGAACGTTTATACGAAGAACGACGAAACTTTAGAGAATATGAAAAAGTAATGTACTCACATATGTCTCGTTGTGCACAGTATCGGCAATGCACTGTCTTTTTGTAGATTTAGACAAGAAGAACTCGAACACGCCGAGAGCGTGAGCGAACAAGAAGCGATGCTCTGGATTTTATTTATCTTGTTCAAGGTAAACTAATAAGAAAGAATGAGGAAGACTAAGTGCTAACATTATTTCCTTGCAATTTGCACATGTGCACTTAAATCTAAACGTTACATAGTTTAATCTAAATACCGTTTACACGTTATGTTCCCAAAGCTGCATCACCTGTTGAGAACACAGTGTCGTCCAGGTGTCATCACAAGAATTGACAAAACTCGCTTCGTTTACATCGAAGAAATGTTAAAGTGTCTCGAATATGATCAATATATCTCAAAAGCAAAATCCGTTTGCAGAGACTGTCAATTCGTTAGTAAACGTTCTTTAATCTTTCGCGGCACTTATTTTGAGAAATGTGAGAAAGAGATTCGCGAGTTTGAGAAAACTTTATCTGCTGAAAGCGTATCTATTTGCGGAGGTACAAATGATTCTATATTGAAAATGATTAATATATTAAAATCAATTATATAATTTTTATCATAAGTTGACGTCACAATTTTATGCAACGCATATCATATTGTTTCACAATTTTACTAAGATATCGTTTTTTCCTATAGATCAGCGTTTCAAAGAGGAATGTAGAATTATGATAGAAAATAAATGTTTGAGTCATCAGCAAAAAAATAAATATTCCCGAAAGAGCTTCCATCAGAATCTCAAATACATACAACCGAAGAAGTTATATGAAGTTATTAACAAAATGGACTGCCAACTGAATAAGCTTCGCTTAAATTGTCCAGTTCACAACCTTACCTTTTAAAATTTTATATTCAGAGAAGCAGGAAAAATCTAAATTTAAAGAAAAGTATTTATCGCACAAAATTTTATTTTATTTTTAAATAAAATTTGAATATAGATGCAATTTCTTTTATTATATAATTTACTTTCTAATCGAGTATATGTCGTACTTTTAAAAAGAAAAGAAGTTACTAATGACACTATTGAAAATATATAACTTTATTATTATGCATATGATTACAAATAGAAAATATTTATAAAAACTACATTCATATAAAATAAATTAATATAACAACATTGAAAGTATCCGATTTAAAGATAGCTTCCTTGGTTCACACTTTGTTTGTTTCTGTACCTGAATTGAATTGAAATATATTGGTTATCTTAATGATAGCCCCATCTTCTATTCCTCGTCGCAGATCTTCCCGCTTCTATGTCACTGATGACATCGCTCGGTTGATACGATCTCGGAGTACACGTGGATTGTTCGGCTTTTTGTTTGTTCTCCAAAGCGGGACCTTGGCAGTATTCCTGAGTCAGGGCATATGTGGCAGCAAATTCTTCAGGCTTTGTCAGGATGCAATTCTTAGGGACGATGAAATCGTTGCCCGATCGCATGTCGTAATTGCCGCAGAGACCGCGTACGGCACTGAGATATTGGTGCGTTGCCTAACAAAAACATTTCATTACAGTTAAATTTAATGTATCTCACTATTATGCTAAATGCAATTTTTTAATTATGCACAACTTGCTTTACTTTCTTACTTACACGAAGTAGGATACGTTCTCCGTCATATACAGCGCGTATTCCATATTCAAGTGAGAAAATTGTGATCGTATCGTCTAGCCGATAGATTTCGATGTTATTTTCTCGAAAACTCTTAAATCCTGAAGAGTTACTACTTGCGAAACTAATTATTTGGTCGCCAATTGCTGCTCCAAAACTATTGCCCGATTTATACAGATGAATTTTGTCATCACCGAAGATTACTTGAATCTGTTTACTGCCATCATCCATTTCTCGTGCCATGACAATCGTACTCATATATTTCGGGATGCTTAAAGTTTCTTCGGGATTATTGGGATCCCGTTTTGGGTAAGTGGTCATTAACACGTGCCAACAGTCCCCTAATTTCACAGGATAGACCTTCTCGTCAAAAGTAACAACTTGAGTTTTGTCGAGAACGCACGTAGCTGCAAACGAAAAGAGTCTCGTGTTTATTTTAAGGTTGTATTACAGAAATAACTTGCGTAACATGTTAGAAGACATTTTATCCAATATTTTCTATGATAAATGTAAAAAAAGGTCGAATCGTTATAACAAAAAATCCTCACTTATGTCGTTATTAAGATTCGAATATTTTGTTTTCACAAAGCTTGATATGCTATCCGTGCATTAAATTTTGTTTTATTTAAGAGAAGTTTATTCAAATATTAATTTCATCAAAATTCAATAACTTACATCCTTCTGAGTCTTCCTTGAAAAGTTTATTCAATATTTTTATAGTATTCAGTTTTTGGTCAGAAATGTCTGGCACAGAGAACGTAAAGCCCATAGCGCGCAAAGAAATTATCGAATTATTATCGGACAGTGCTTTCATGTCCACATCGACAGTATTTTCGTCAGTAAGTTCCGTGTTTGGGAAATCCTCTAAATCTTGGTCCTTTTTCCTGGCGTTAAGGATATAAGTGCTGGCAAGAACAGAGAGACGCTTTGAGTCTATTGACATTGTCAGATGATCTTTCTGTCTAATTGACTCACTGGCATCTCGACAAATTGGCAGCCAAACATTGCCTTGTTTTATCTCTTCCTGACATTTCTTGACTATCTCAGATTTCATTGCCCTCTCCTTGAAATCATTAGATCGAGTCAAATTTCCTTTCAGTCCGATTGTTTCTCCGTTCGTACAGTTTCCAAATCGCACCTCAATTTTGAATTCGTTCTTCGGAATCTTCTCAATAGCTTTGTTAAAACTTAGAGGTGTTATCTGTGATGACTTTGTGTTTCCAATAGCACAAAACTCCTGGGAGACTTCTCCGCTCCGTGGATCTTGTGCATTCCAATATAAAAGGGTCTGAAATTTATTATTCGCGCGGTTGTTTGCCAAAGCGAGGGTGAAAACGTAATTAATACGCTCACTCGTAAGAATACTTATGTCATAGACGTAACTGACGGCAGCATCGACATCTTTGTTGACTTCCCTTAGGAATTGTTCTCTTCTCGCCTCGCTTTCCGGCTGTTTGTTCATTATTGCAGGAATTGTTGCCTCCGAACTGGCGTCGATGTCGTACATTGTGTCGAACATTCTGTACGGCTGTCGGAAAGTGTCGGAAGTTATATTCACTTCTAAAGTGTGGAGATCGAACAATGCGAGGAATTTTCTGTAATAGGGGCCACCTTTACGAAACACGTTAATAATCTCTGCAGCAGCTTCAAGTCCAGTTTTCTTCGAGGTTTCCTCGTCAATATGATCACTTTTTACAGAACATTGTATGGACATCAAAGTGTCTAGCGAAAATTCTACTGTATGTGGTTCCTTCGTGTTCACCACGCGTGTGTCGCTACTGGGATTAGTGCTAAAAGAAAGAATGTCGTGTCTTGCGGTATATGGGACGACGGAGTGATAAACCGCCGAAGGCCCGTTGCGGACGTATTGATAATATTTGGGAAGTACGTTTGGGACAATTTTCTTTCCTTCTGATATGTAACGTAAACCAGCGGGTACAAAGAACTCTGTGTTTATATCGATACCAGCAATATAATGTCTGTGCTCGAAAGGCGCGACGAAACCAACTCTGCTTTCGATCTTTTCGGTATATACTATATGGCCCATCACTGTTGAGTCCGTATAGTTCATAGTTGGTGAGATTCCATTTTTGTGAGATTCTGCACTGGCAATTCTTATGAATTGCGATGCCGCTAATGTAGAACTAAACGGCAGGCCGCTTTCAGTTGGGAATCCCAGCGTCGTGTCATAGCAGTATAGATAATTCAGACGCCCGGTTTCAAACTCTCGAGATGACTTTAACGATTCAACGTACCTTGTAAACACTGTAATAATGGTTTGTCATTTTTATTACTGGGATGTCTAAGGCAATTACCTTTCAAATATATTTAATAATACTTACTATTGGCGATATCGTCAAACGTATGATTGTCAAAGGCATAGAATTTTGTTGCAAATACTGAATCTTCGAAGACACTCCATTCGATCTGTTCCGGGTCCTCGGATTTAATGCCGAGCTTTTCGATAGTGTCTTCAATAATCAATTTCTTTTCGATATTATCTCGCTTCATCCAGGGCATCTGGTACCACATATCTAGGAATCCTCTGGTGTTCGATATTGCAAATGTTGCTTTCCCGGAAGGAAACTTAAAGTTACCGTAAGATTGTTGACTATTCAAATGCAAACCTTTAAACATTGTACTGTCATCGCTAGCAATCGTTTCAAGAAAAGATCTTTGCGCAATGTTTAAGGAGGCAATAGTTATCTCCTGAAGGATGCTGTGTGAGTAATCTTTGGTATAAGTGGAAGGTTTTAACAGCTTCCTAGCGATACGCGCCTTGTCAGCGAGTTCTTTGAACTCCGGTTCCTTCGAATTAGCGAGGCCCTCTATGCTAGTCGTGACAGCAGAATTCACTTGTTTGTCTTGATCCTGATGAGTAAATTCTGCCATTCGTTGCAATAGGCTCAAAGGTGGATTGGTTTTCATTATGACATAGACAGCTGCGCAACGTAATTCATAGGCTTCCATCGTGTTTATATAGATCTTGTTGGCGACAGATCTGGCGAGACGCGGAAAGTTTTCGCCCAACTTGTTTAACGAGATGACCATCATCAAACGTTGGAACTTCGATATTGGCAAGGTGCCCTCCAGATATGGTTCGAAAATGGAGAGTATTTTCGGGTGACCAAATCCACCCAATGCCATAATATACGTTTGAATGCGAGGATTGTGGCCTTCCTCGATAGCTTCTCTCAATTGAGTGGCCATGTAAGGAATATAAATTTCAAGGAGCGCACTGTCATTTTTGGGGACCATACGACCGAAACTGTAGACCGGATAGTAGCGGGATGACATGTTGTTGTGGGTGTTATGGACCAATTCGGCAAATGCCACAGGTGCAGTCGTGTTCAAAATTTTCTGTTTCCTTACTTGTTCGTCCGTAATCAATTCCTACACAACAAGTAAACATTGAAATTAGTTCGTACATATTTGTAATACGTAATTGCCGATATAAGTATTTGGACGCCATAAATTTTAAAAGATTAAACATCTTCTGAGATCTTTTCATATGTATGTTGTTTTGATATAATTGATATAATAAATACTTACGAAAAACTCTCTGATATATTCTGGTGTAGGCGTGAGTGCTGCTTTGGGAATTTGAGAAATAATACCTGCCGCTTGCTTGCCCTCAACTTTTTTGTCTTTTATCCAATTTTTCACGGTGATAAGAGCGGGTCCAGTTCCGACGTGTGCAATGGCGTTGCGTAAGACATCCCATACAGTGTGTTGAAGAATTTTCTTTTCTTCACCGCGAGATGAGTCACGGGCTATCAATTCGGCCAGCGTTTCCTCTATCTCAGTTATTTGCGCAACATTCATGGTACGCATCAGTCTAATGAGAATCATATATTTCTCTAAAAGGTCCATATCTAGAAGTGGCGGCTCCCACGCGTAACTACCGTAGGTTTCGATTTTTTGTATTATCCAAGTGATTAAATTGCACGTTATTGCAGTAAAATTTTTTTCAGATTTTAGAATGCTGCTGCCGTTGTAGCCCACAAAATAAGGTAATAGCGGAATCTCCGGAGCGTCTTCTAATTTTGGTTTAGGTTGAAAGTAATCGCGTTCTTCGCTGTTTAAGTTACTCCTATCGTCATCGTCGCCGTGGCTCTCGCTAGACCTTTTAGAAATGTGTTTCTCGGACGTCCGAGCTGCCAAAAAGTTTCGAATTTCACTCGGACGACGCGGTGTGTGCTGATCAGAGAATGGACTGTTGTAAATGTATACTAAGTTTCCGGTTGACATGAGATTGTTGGACACAGGCATGAGATTGGAGACAGTGCTCATTCTGTCCAAAGTTAAGTTCACCCTACTATAGACAGCGCCAGAGTATGTACGTTCTATTTTAGATCTGACGAATATCTCGTGTGACGTCACGGACGATTGAATAGTAAAACGTTTTAGGTTGCCCGAGATGATAATGTGACTCGAAGATAATCTCTGTAACAAACATATGATTGCAAGAATAAGTCTTCCTTTCGATCTTTGAGTCTTTTACGTCAATATTAAGTTTGGCTCTCAGGTTTGATTCACTAGGAAAAACTTTTTATCTGATTCCTACGTTTTGGGAACATACAGTTTACTTTAGCTTAACTTACTTTACGTCACTTTCGGTTTCTTGTAAAAAGAGACGAACAGAATGATTTGAGCTAAAAGTAAAGTTAAGCAGGGTAGGAACCTAGCCTTAGTGTTATGTAAAGTTTTATTTCAAGTACTGTATGCATGCAAATAATAATACAAATAGTCATTTATGCTTATCCGAAGCGAGAGTTTTGCCAAAACTCTGTATATCAATCTTTATGATATTAAGTTTCGTCAGCTCGAGTGTTATAAGAGTAGTTATGAGTAAAAATCCAACTCACCCAGAAAAGATCATCGTTGGGTCTTGGTTCCCATGCCATCCTACCAACGATACCAGAATGATACGCCATTCTCTGCTCGCATCTATTGTAATCCTTCATCTTTATGACCTCGATATGATGACCATCCTTGCGGAGATTTGGCAAAGGTACATATTCTGGGTTCTCGGAGAGATCTTTTTCAGACAGTGGCGAAATAATATAACGAACCTCACATTTGCCACCGACAGAGTCTTCCATGACTTCAAATACATCGTGGAGCCGACTGTCGTCAAGCATTTGCGTGTCTCTGCTTGCTATCACATTCTCGCCTTGCGTGTCAATCTGCAGTTGACTGAGGAAACTCTTCAACAAATTCACCTCCCAAGTAGATACGTCTTGATCGATCAATACATCTTGAATCAATCCATTCTGAAGCTTGATCTCGAAGGGCTTTCCCGAGAGGGAAAGCTCTCGATACTCAAGGTCGGTGATTTCAGAATCCAAATCTCCCGGCAATACTTTGTGCACGGGAGCATACTGCGTGTTAGAAACCACAGCGTGTAGTGTGTCTGTCGATTTTACTTGAATGGTGATATCACCCTTTATCAAAATCCCAGAAACTTGATCCGATAGCTTGTGTAAGGCCGTCAGTGTTCGACTTTGAATAAGAAAGTGATATTCATTTCCTGTTTCCCAAGCATTGTTGTGCTCAGCTGTCGTCGTTCCAACTGGGAAGAAAGAGATATTATTTTTCACAAACATATTTTAATAAATAATACACAGTAAATGTGTAAAAACATGAATGATGAAAAATGAATACCTAATTGTATTAGACTTTTTATTTTATTTGCATATCTATACATATAATCTTTAGAACTATTGCACGCTGTATATTTACCAGTTGTTTATTCTTTAATATTTTACAATAGTTACAGTATGCTTTAAAATTAAAAGTTTTCAATCATATAAAATTTGTCACTTCCCATTAAACACCAAGTCACAGTTACATAACATTAATATTTTAACTTTTCACTCAACCATATAAATATTACATACCACATGTACATATAGTTACTTTGTTGTGTAGGTAGTTATTATATTCAATTTATGTAACCGTTAAATGTGTAATGTTTACTGGATTATCACTTTTATCAAAATTATTGCTGTACGTTTATATTATTCCACATCGTATATTTTATGTGTCAACAAATATTTCTGTAAAATATCTATTGCACAACTACTATATCTATAACATATTAACAAAAATTCTTACTTGTCTGTACACAATATTTTATATTGATGTAATTATATTTGTAGGTTATTACGTTATATACAAATTAATATCATGTTATTAATGTTATAAATAATTTTATCCACAACAAATTTGTAGAATTTTTAAGAATAGTGGCAACTTCTATAATTTTGAATCCATTTGAAATCATCGTAAATAAAGATATCGTATATAGTAGTTTCAAATTTTACTATAATAACTTTATCACGTAATAAAAAGAATTCTTTTAGACACGTACTAACAGATGAGAAATGATCGTACAATTTTCGTAGAAATTGATATTAATTTTATTTGTGATATATTAACGCCTACTTACTGATTAGGAGAAAAGTCATATACAACCACATGATGTTACGTGGATAACGCCTAGTAGAAAATGAGAGCTTCCTCCTCTTAAATGGACTTATATACTGGTCGTATATCATGACAGCTTGACCTGTGCGATGTTCATTGGTTTAGATTCCTTGAACTCAAAATTGAATCATTGCATAACAAGTGATAAATTATTTTAATCTTGTGTGTATATTGAATACAAGATCGTGATATACATCGTATTCTCAAGCAAAATAATGATTTCACTCAAAAATATACTGTAATTCAGTCTTATCGATTTTCATTTATTAATAAGGAATTTTGTAATCTTAACCAGAAATAATTAAATATTATTATGATAACAATCGATCAGCTACTGAAATGTAATTAAGAAATAATCAATACTGTTTACTAATAAAAAATTTTGAAAATCATATAATTCTGTATTAACATTCTTGTGATAAAACTTAGAAAGGATGTTTATATCACGAATTATGTTTTAATTTTAAAATCTAAACGATTGTTTATATGTGCCACCGATTTTTGATAAATTTCTTAGGTCATAACTTTTACCTGGAAACCTTTTACAGATATTCCATAATATAAATATACATATATGTATATAATTTTCTCGGTATTTAGTTCGTGAATAACAAGATAATGCGTAGGTTCATAACAGGTCACTGATAATCTGTTACAAATCTTGAATATCACTGCATTTGTAAAATATTTGCATAATGATAATACATATTTTACATTCTATTAATTACTAAATAGTTTTACCTCGTACTTTAGCAATGATGTCTATTTTTGCTTCCTCATACACGAATCATTGTCTTGAAAAAATTGTTTTCCGATTTTCTTTGCTGATGTTTTCAGAATGTTCCAAAACGTCGAAAATTTATACTAAAAAGATGTCGGTGCGTATGTCTTTCTGTATGTATGTAGGTATGATATAACAGTCGATGATTTCTCTAACGCGCTACAAATTCGCGTATAAGTCGTACACTGCGCAGAGCAAGCAACTCCGGAGTAGAAAACGAACAAAGTAAATTACTTGATAACGGTAACTGCTGTGATACGAGTTTGGTATACTGCTAGTTACTGGTCGTGAAGCGATATAGAATTACAAGGTTCTACGCTTTAGATTTTCTATTTAGTGCTATGATAGTATATGTCCAAATATCTTGATTGGTGGTTTTTTCAGAGCTCTACAGCAAGGAACACTAGCAACACAATGTGGCACAGTGTTTAATACAGTGTTTTCTAACAACGACAACATGACAAAAATTTATATCTACACAGCCTAAAACCAAACAATGTGTTGAGCTTGTGTCACACACGTGTCTGCAAACTATTTATAGATGTCAAAAACATTTATAGTTGTCATTTTATCTATTAAGTTTATTTCTTACATGATTACGTGTCGTAATTCTCAAAGAATTGATTATAACAACATTGAAAATTTTCGACATAAAGATAGGTTTCTTGGTTAAATTTTTGCTCTTTTCTGTACTTGAATTGTAGGGATACTTTCTTTAGAATATATTATTGACTCTTTTGCTCTATGCTTGCAACTCTTGAGATTTTATTAAATGAAACAAGATAATCATCAATGTAATAATTTCCTTGAAATGTATTGGTTATCTTAATGATAGCCCCATCTTCCATTCCTCGAAGCAGATCTTCCCGCTTCTATGTCACTGATGCCATCGCTCGGTTTATACGACCTCGGAACACACGTAGATTGTTCGGCTCTTCGTTTGTTCTGCACAGCGGGTCCGTCGCAGCTTTTCTGAGTCAGGGCATATGTGGCAGCAAATTCTTCAGGCTTCTTCAAGATGCAATTCTTAGGGGTAATAAAATCGTTGTCGGATCGCCTGTCGTAGTTGCCGCATAGACCACGTACTGCACTGAGATATCGGTGGGATGGCTGAGAAACATATTTCAATACAGTTAAATTTAATGTAACTCACGATTATACGAAATTCAGCCTTCATGTTACGTTATACATTACTTGCTTTATTTTCTTACTTACACGTAGCAGGAGACGTTCTCCATCAAACACAGCGTATATTCCATATTCAAGTGATAAAACTGCGATCATATCGTCTAGTCGATAGACTTCGAAGGTATTTTCTCGAAAGCTCTCATGACCTGAAGAGTTACTGCTTGCGAAACGAATTATTTGGTCGTCAAACATTCCTGCGAAACTATTGCCCCATTTATGCAGATGAATTTTGTGATCACCGAAGATAATTAGGATGTCTTTACTGCCATCATCCATTTCTCGTGCCATGACTATCGTACTCATATATTTCGGGATACTCAAAGTTTCTTTGGGATTATTAGGATCCCGTTTTGGATAAGTGGTCATTAACACGTGCCAACAGTTCCCTAATTTCACAGGATAGATCTTCTCGTCAAAAGTAACAACTTGAGTTTTGTCGAGAACGCACGCAGCTGCACACGAAAAGAATTTCAAGTTTATTTTAATGTTGTATTACAGAAATGACCTACGTGATATGTTAGAAGACATTTTAGCTACTATTATTTTCTATGATAAATTTAAAAAGCATCGAACCGTTATAACAAAATAAAATTCTAACTTATATCGCTATTAAAATTCGAATATTTTCTTTTCACAAAGCTTGATATTAGTGCATTAGTGCACTGGTGCATTAAATTTTGTTTTATTTAAGAGATGTTTATTCAAATATTAATTTCATCAAAATTCTGTAACTTACGTCCTTCTGGGTCTTCTCTGAAAAGTGCATTCATAATACTTAAAGTATTCAGTTTTTGCTCCCAAACGTCTAGCAGAGAGAACGTGACGCCCAAGTCCGCGGTGCGCAAAGAAATTATCGTATCATTATCGGACAGTACTTTTATGTCCACATCGATAGTGTTTTTTTCCGTAAGTCCCGTATTTGAGGAAGCCTCCAAATCTTTGTTCAAAATTCTCTTAATGTTAAGCATAAAACTGTTGGCATCAACATAGAAACGCTCTGAGTCTATTGACATCGTCAGATGATCTTTCTGTCTGATTAACTCGCTAGCATCTTGACAAATTGGCAGCCAAACATTGCTTTGTTTTATCTCCTCCTGACACTTTTTGAATACCTCAGATTTCATTGCCCTCTCCTTGAAATCACCAGAACGAGTCAAACTTCCTTTCAGTCTGATTGTTTCTCCGTCCGTGCAGTTTCCAAGTCGTACCTCAATTTTAAATTCATTCGTCGGAATCTTCTCAATAGCTTTGTTAAAACTTAGAGGTGTTATCTGTGATGACTTTGTGTTTCCAATAGCACAAAACTCCTGGGAGACTTTTCCGCTCCGTGGATCTTGTGCATTCCAATATAAAAGGGTCTGAAATTTATTATTCGCACGGTTGTTTGCCAAAGCGAGGGTGAAAACGTAATTAATACGCTCACTCGTAAGAATACTTATGTCATAGACATAACTGACGGCAGCATCGACATCTTTGTTGACTTCATCCAGTAATTGCTGTCTTCTCACCTCGCTTTCCGGCTGTTTGTCCACTATTGCAGGAATTACTGCCTCCACATTAGCGTCGACGTCGTACGTCGTGTGTCGAAAAGTGTCGAAAGTTATATTTACTTGTGAAGTCGGGAGAACGAACATTGCGAGAAATCTTCTGTAATAAGCGCCACCTTTACGAAACACATCAGCAATCTCTATGGCAGCCGAAAGTCCTGTTTTCTTCGAGGCTTCTTCGTTTATATGATCACTTTTCATCACACATTCTACAGACATTAAAGCGTCTAGCACAAGTCCTACTTCATGTGGTTTCTTCGTATTCACCACGAGTTTGTCATTGCTGGGAACATTGCTAAAAGAAAGAATGTCGTGTCTTGCGGTATAAGGGACAACGCTGTAGTAAATCATCCCATGCCCGGTACCGATATATTGATAATCTTCGGGCTGTATCTGCAGAACAATTTTCTTTCCTTCTCTAGTGTAACGTAAACCAGCTGGTACATAGTACTCTGCGTTGACGTCGATACCAGCAATATAATGTCTGTGCTCGAAAGGAGCAACGAAGCCAATTCTGCTTTGGAGCTTTGCGCTATTTAGCATGTGGCCCACCACTGTTAAGTCCAAAGAGTCCCCAGTAGATGAGTTTCTCATTGCGTGAGATTCTGCACCACCAATTTGTGAGACTTGTGATAATGTTAATGTGTAAACAAACGGCAGGCCGCTTTCAGTTGGGAATCCCAGCGTCATGTCGTAGTAGTATAGATTATTCAAGTTTCTAGATTCAAAATTTCGGGATGACTTCGACGAGTCAATGTACCTTGTGAACACTGTAACATAACGATAATAGTAATTTGTTATTTTTATTGCTGGAATATCTAAGGTAATTATCTTTAAAATAAATTTTAAAATACTTACTATTGGCGATATCGTCAAACGTATGATTGTCGAAGGCATAGAATTGTCTTGAAAATAAGGAATCTGCGAGCATATACCATTCGATCTGTTCTGGCTCTTCGGGTATAATGCCAAGCTTGTCGATAGTGTCTTTAATAATCAATTCCTTTTCGACGTTATCTCGCTTCATCCAGGGCATCTGGTACCACATATCTAGCAGTCCTCTCATGTTCGATATAGCATATGATACTTTTCCGGAAGGGAAAGTAAAACCACCGAAAGATGGTTGTACACGAAAATATGAAGCTTTTGGCATTACACTGTCGTCGCTAGCAATCGTTCTCATAAAAGATGTTTGAGCAATATTTAAGGAGGCGACAGTTATCTCGTGAAGGATATTTTGCGAATAATTTTCAGTGTAAGTGGAAGGTTTCAACAGCTTCCTTGCGATACGCGCCTTGTTAGCGAGTTCTTGCAACTCCGGTTCCTTCGAATTAGCGAGGCCCTCTATGCTAGTCGTGACAGCAGAATTTACTTGGTTGTCTTGATCTTCATGAGTGAATTCTGCCATTCGTTGCAGTAGGCTCAGAGGTGGATTGGTGTTCATTATGACGTAGACAGCTGCGCAACGTAATTCATAGGCTTCCATCGTGTTTATATAGATCTTTTCGGCAACAGATCTGACGAGACTCGGATAGTTTTCGCCTAATCTGTTTAACGAGATGACCATCATCAAACGTTGGAACTTCGATATCCGCAAGCTGCCCTCCAGATACGGTTCGAAAATTGAGAGTATTTTCGGGTGACCAAAACCACCCAATGCCATAATGTACGTTTGAATTCGAGGATTGTCGCCTTCTCCGATAGCTTCTTTCAATTGAGTGGCCATGTACGGAATATAAGTTTCAACAAGCGCTCTGTCATTTTTGGGAACCATACGACCGAAACTGTAGACCGGATAGTAGCGGGTTGCCATATTGCTATGGGTGTTATGGATCAATTCGGCAAATGCCACAGGTGCAGTCGTATTCAAAAATCTCTGTTTCTTTACTTGTTCATCCATAATTAATTCCTACACGACGAGTGAACATTGAAATTAGTTCGTATATATTTGTAACACATAATTACTGATATACGTATTTGCGCGCCAAAAAAAAGGAATATCTTCTGTGATCTTTTCATAATTATATTGTTTTTATATAATTAATATAATAAATACTTACGAAAAACGCTCTGACATATTCTGCTGTAGGCGTGAGTGCTGCTTTGGGAATTCGAGAAATAATATTTGCCGCTTGCATTCCCTCAATTTTCTTGTTTTGTATCCAACTTTTTATGGTGATAAGAGCTGGTCCAGTTCCGATGTGTGCAATGGCGTTGCGTAAGATATCCCATGCAGTTTCGTGGAGAAGTTTCTTGTGTTCATAGTGAGATGAGTCACGGGCCATTAATTCGGACAGTGTTTCCTCTATCTCAGTTATTTGCGCAACATTCATGGTACGCATCAATCTAACCAGAACTATATATTTCTCTGGAAGGTCCGTCTCTAGAATTGACGGGGCCCACATGAAAGCACCGTAGGATGCGATTTTCTCGGTTATCCAACCGATTAAATTGCATGCTATTGCAGTAAAATTTTTTTCGGATTTAAGAATGCTGTTGCCTTTGTATCCGACAAAATAAGGTAATATCGGACTTTCTGGAGCGTCGCTTAAGTTTGGTTTAGGTTGAAAGTAATCGCGTTCTTCGCTGTTTGAGTTGCTCCTACCGTCATCGTCGCCGTGGCTTTTTTCGCTAGACCTGTTAGAAACGTGTCTCTCGGACGTTCGAGCTGCCAAAGAGCTTAAAATGTCAATTGGACGATGCGGTCTGTGCTGATTAGAAAATGGACTGTTGTAAAGATATACTAAATTTCCGGTTGACATGAGATTGTTGGACACTGGCATGAGATCGGAGACTGTGCTCATTCTGTCCAAAGTTAAGTTTACCCTACTATAGACAGCGCTAGCGTATGTATCGTCAATTTTAGAGCTGATGAGTATCTTGTTTGTCGTCACGGACGATTGAATAGTAAAACGTTTTAGGTTGCCCGAAATGATAATGCGGCTCGTAGATAATCTCTGTAACAAACATATGATTGCAAGAATAAGTCTTCCATTCGATCTTTGAGTCTTTTACGTCAATATTAAGTTTGGCTTTCAGGTTTGAATCACATAAATTTTATATCCGATTCCTACGTTCGGGAACATATCAATTCACTTTATCAAGGAGGAAAACAATCAGATGTTGTAGAAATCATATTTAGAGGTATAACAGTGATAGTATCAGATTGCATTTCTTTCGTGAAATAAACTGTAATGTTGATGGAATATTAAAAAAAGATAAACAATTTCGGATTAAAACTCAGAAAATAAATCTACTCTCTGATTCCCAAGTTCACGTAACTTTAACTTTAGCTTAACTTACTGTACGTCTCTTTCGGTTTCCCATAGGAAGAGACTAACAGAATGAGCCAAAAGTAAAGTTAAGCAATATAGGACCTGGCATTAGTGTTATATAAAGTTTTATTTGAAGCACTGTATGCATGCAAATAATAATATACGAGTAAATAGCCATTTATGCTTATCCGTAGCGAGAGTTTGGCAAAACTCTGTATATTAATCTTTATGATATAAAGTTTCGTCAGCTCGAGTGTTGTAAGAATAGTTATCAGTCAAAATCCAACTCACCGAGAGAGAACCATCGTTGGATCCTGGTTTCCATTTCACCTTACCAACGATACCAGAATGATACGCCATTTGCTGCTCGCATGTAGTGTAATTCTTCGTCTTCATGACATCGATATGATGACCATCCTTGTGAAGATTTGGCAAGGGTACTAATTCTGGGTTCTCGGAGAGAACATTTTCAGGCAACGGCGTAATATTATAACGAACCTCACATTTGCCACCGACAGAGTCTTCCATGACTTTAAATGTACCGTAGGGCCGGCTGTCGTCAGGCATTTGTGTGTCCCTGCTTGCTATCACATTCTCGCCTTGCGTGTCAATCTGCAGTTGACTCAGGAAACTCTTCAGCAAATTCACCTCCCAAGCAGATACCTCTTGATCGATCAATACATCTTGAATTAATCCATTTTGAAGCTTGATCTCGAAGGGCTTTCTCGACAGGGAAAGCTCTCGATACTCAAGGTCGGTGATCTCAGACTCCCAACCTTCCGGCAATACTTTGTGCACGGGAGCATACTGCGTGTTAGAAACCACAGCCTGTAGTGTGTCTGTCGATTTTACTTGAACGGTGATATCACCTTTCATCAAAATCCCAGAAAACTGATCAGCTAGCTTGTCTAAGACCGCCAATGTCCGACTTCGAATAAGAAAGTGATATTCATTTCCTGTTTTCCAAGCATTGTTGTGCTCAGTTGTCGCCGTTCCAACTGGGAAGAAAGAGCTATTATTTTTTACCATCATATTTTAATAAATAATACATAGCGTATGTGTAAAAACGTGAATTTAGAAAATGAATACCAAATTGTATTAGGTTGTTTATTTTATTCTCAGATCTATATGATCTTTACTGTTGCACGCTGGACATTTACTAGTCGTTAATTCTTAAATATTCTACATTCTCTTTTAAACCCTCACGAAATGATGAGAAATGATCGTTTAATTTTTAGAAAGTTATATCAATTTTGTTTGTGTTTTTGAATACCCCTACTTACTGATTAGTAGAAAAGTTACAAAGGACCACATGATATACGTGGATAACGTCGAGTGGAAAATGAGAGCTTCCTCCTATTAAATGGACTTATATACGGTTCGTATGCCATGTCAGCATGACCTATGCGATATTCACTGATTTGCATTTCCCGAACTTAAAATTGAATCATTGCACATCTCGTAAAAAATTATTCTAATCTCGTATGTATATTGAATATAAGATCTTGATGTACATCGTATTCTCAAGCAAAATAATGATTTCACATAAAAATATAATTGAGATTAATCGATATTCATTTATTAATAATGAATTTTGTAATCTTAACCAGAAATAATTAAATATTATTATGATAACAATCGGTCAGCTACTGAAATGTAAATAAGAAATAAGCAATACTAGTAAGAAATTCGACAATCATATAATTCTGTATGCAACATTTTTATGTTAAAACTTAAAAAGGATGTTTATATCACGAATTATATTTTAATTGCAAAATTTAAACGATTGTTGACATGTGTCACCGATTTTTGATAAACTTCTTAGGTCAAACTTTTACCTGGAAATCTTTTACAGATATTCCATACTATGAATATACATATATGTATATAATTTTCTCAGTACTTAGTTCGTGAATAACAAGATAATGCGTAGCATCATAACGGGTTACTGATAATCTGTTTCAAATCTTGAATGTCAATATATATGTAAAATATTTGCATAAAATGATAATTAATGTTTTACATTTAATTATGAAATAATATATGTGGCACGGGCTGCATGACAAATATTTATCAATTCATAGAAACACTTGTCAGTTCACCAAAAATATGTTTCGATAAATAATTGTATGTTTAACTTCAAAACTTATATGTTGGAACTAAAGAAATGCTATCAATTAAATGTATTTAGTTATTTTAATAACTTTTCTCTCAGTACAGAAAAGTAGGAAGAACTTAAGACTGAACAAAACTGTTTATTGCAAAATATAATTTTGGTTACAGTTACAATTTAAATATTTATAGATGTCATTTTATCTATTAAGTTTATTTCTTACATGATTACGTGTCGTAATTCTCAAAGAATTGATTGTAACAACATTGAAAATTTTCGACATAAAGATAGGTTTCTTGGTTAAATTTTTGCTCTTTTCTGTACTTGAATTGTAGGGATACTTTCTTTAGAATATATTTTTGACTCTTTTACTCTATGCTTGCAACTCTTAAGATTTTATTAAATGAAACAACATGATCATCAATGCAATAATTTCCTTGAAATGTATTGGTTATCTTAATGTTAGCCCCATCTTCTCTTCCTCGTAGCAGATCTTCCCGCTTCTATGTCACTGATGACATCACTCGGTTGATCCGACCTCGGAATACATGTGGATTGTTCGGCTTTTTGTTTGTTCTCCAAAGCGGGTCCTTGGCAGTTTTCCTGAGTCAGGGCGTATGTAGCAGCAAATTCTTCAGGCTTTGTTAAGATGCAATTCTTAGGGCTGATAAAATCGTTGTTGGATCGCGTGTCGTAGTTGCCGCACAGACCACGTACTGCACTGAGATATCGGTGGGATAGCTGAGAAACACATTTCAATACAGTTAAATTTAATGTAACTCACGATTATACTAAATGCAGTCTTTATGTTACATTATGCATTACTTGTTTTATTTTCTTACTTACACGTAGCATGAGACGTTCTCCGTCATATACAGCGTATATTCCATATTCAAGTGAGAAAATTGCGATCATATCGTCTAGTCGATAAGTTTCGAAGGTGTTTTCTCGAAAACTCTCAGGACCTTCAGAGTTACTGCTTGCGAAACGAATTATTTGGTCGTCAAATGCTCCTTCGAAACTATTGTCCGATTTATGCAGATGAATTTTGTGATCACCGAAGATAATTTCGATTTGTTTACTGCCATCATCCATTTCTCGTGCCATGACCATCATACTCATATGTTTCGGGATACTCAACAATTCTTTGGGATTATTGGGATCCCGTCTCGGATAAGTGGTCATTAACACATGCCAACAATTCCCTAATTTCACAGGATAGACCTTCTCGTCAAAAGTAACAACTTGAGTCTTGTCGAGAACGCACACAGCTGCAAAGGAAAAGGATTTCATGGTTATTTTAATGTTGCATTGCAGAAATAACTTACGTAATATGTTACAAGACATTTTAGCCAATATTATTTTCTATGATAAATTTAAAGAAAGGTCAAATTGTTATAACAAAATAAAATCCTCACTTATATCGCTATTAAGATTCGAATATTTTGTTTTCACAAAGCTTAATATGCTATCCGTGCATTAAATTTTGTTTTATTTAAGAGATGTTTATTCAAATATTAATTTAATCAAAATGCTATAACTTACATCCTTCTGGGTCTTCTCTGCCAAGTATATTCAAAATTCTTAAAGTATTCAGTTTTTGCTCACAAATATCTAGCAGAGAGAACGTGACGCCCAAGTCCACGGTGCGCAAAGAAATTATCGTATCATTATCGGACAGTGCTTTCATGTCCACATCGACAATGTTTTCTTCAGTAAGTCCCGTGTTTGAGAAAGTCTCCAATTCTACGTCCAAAATTCCCTTAATGTTAAGCATAAAACTATTGGCATCAACATAAACACGTTCCGAGTTTATTGACATCATCAGATGATCTTTCTGTCTGATTAACTCGCTGGCATCTTGACAAATTGGTAGCCAACCATTGCTTTGTTTTATCTCTTCCTGGCACTTCTTAACTATCTCGGATTTCATTGCCCTCGCCTTGAAATCATCAGAACGAGTCAAATTTCCTTTCAGACTGAATGTTTCTCCGTTCGTACAGTTTCCAAGTCGCATCTCAATTTTAAAATCACACTTCGGAATTTCATCAATTGCTTTGTTAAAGCTTAGAGGTGTTATGTGTGATGACTTTGTGTTTCCAATAGCACAAATCTCCTGGGAGACTTCTCCGCTGCTGGCATCTTGAGCATTCCAATATAAAAGTGTCTGAAATTTGTTATTCGGGCGGCTGTATGCCAAAGCGAGGGTCAACACGTAATTACTAGAGCCACTAGTAAGACTTATGTCACAGACATAACTGACGGCAGCATTAACATCTTTGTTGACTTCATCTAGTAATTGCTCCTTTCTCGCCTCGCTTTCCGGTTGTTTGTCCACTATTGCAGGAATTATTGCCTCCGCACTGGCGTCAACGGTGGACATCGCGTGTCGGGAAGAGTCGAAAGTTATATTTACTTGTGAAGTCGGGAGAAAGAACATTGCGAGAAATTTTCTGTAATAAGCGCCACCTTTACGAAACACATCAGCAATCTCTATGGCAGCCGAAAGTCCTGTTTTCTTCGAGGCTTCTTCGTTTATATGATCACTTTTCATCACACATTGTACATATATTAAAGCGTCTAGCGTAAGTCCTACTTCATGTGGTTTCTTCGTGTTCACCACGAGTGTGTCATTGCTGGGATCAGTGCTAAAAGAAAGAATGTCGTGTCTTGCGGTATAAGGGACGACGCTGTAGTAAATCATCCCATGCCCGGTACCGATATATTGATAATAATCGGGCTGTATCTGCAGAACAATTTTCTTTCCTTCTCTAGTGTAACGTAAACCAGCTGGTACAAAGTACTCTGCGTTGACGTCGATACCAGCAATATAATGTCTGTGCTCGAAAGGCGCGACGAAACCAATTCTGTTTTGGACCTTGTCGCTATTTACCATGTTGCCCACCACTGTTACGTCCAAAGAGTCCTCAGTGGATAAGTTTTTCATTTCGTGAGATTCCGCGCCACCAATTCTTGTGACTTGTGATACAGTTAATGTGTAAACAAACGGCAGGCCGCTTTCAGTCGGAAATCCTAGCGTCCTGTCGTAGTAGTGTAGATTATTCAAGTTTCTAGATTCAAAATCTCGGGATGACTTCAACGCTTCAATGTAACTTGTGATCCCTGTAATATAACCATGATAGTGATTAGTTATTTTTATTACTGGAATATCTAAGGTAATTATCTTTAAAATTAATGTTTGAATACTTACTATTGGCGATATCGTCAAACGTATGATTATCGAAGGCATAGAAATGTCTTGAAAATAAGGAGTCTGCGAGCATATTCCATTCGATCTGTTCCGGCTCTTCGGGTATAATGCCAAGCTTGTCGATAGTGTCTTTAATAATCAATTTCTTTTCGACGTTATCTCGCTTCATCCAGGGCATCTGGTACCACATATCTAGCAGTTCATTTATGTTCGATATAGCATAAAATCCTTTTCCGGGAGGGAAATTAAAGCCACCGAAAGATTGTTCTACAATAAAATATGCAGCTTTTGGCATTATATTGTCGTCGCTACCAATCGTTGACAGAAAAGTTTTTTGAGCAATATTTAAGGAGGCGACAGTTATCTCGTGAAGGATGCTGTGTGAATAATTTTCAGTGTAAGTTGAAGGTTTTAACAGTTTCCTTGCGATACGCGCCTTGTCAGCGAGTTCTTGGAACTCCGGGTCCTTCGAATTAGCGAGGCCCTCTATGCTAGTCGTGACAGCGGAATTTACTTGGTTGTCTTGATCCTCATGAGTGAATTCTGCCATTCGTTGCAGTAGGCTTAGAGGTGGATTGGTGTTCATTATGACGTAGACAGCTGCGCAACGTAATTCGTAAGCCTCCATCGTATTTCCATAGATCCTTTCGGCAACAGATCTGATGAGACTCGGATTGCGTTCGCCTATTCTGTTTAATGCGATAACCATGAAGAAACGTTGGAACTTCGATATCCGCAAGCTGCCCTCTAGATACGGTTCCAAAATGGAGAGTATTTTCGGGTGACCAGTACCACCTAATGCCAGAATATACGTTTGAATTCGAGGATTGTTGCCTTCGTCGATAGCTTCTCTCAATTGAGTGGCCATGTACGGAATATAAGTTTCAACAAGCGCTCTGTCATCTTTGGGGACCATATGATCGAAACTGTCGACCGGATAGTAGCGGGATGCCATTTTGTTGTGGGTGTTATAGATTAATTCTGCAAATGCCACAGGTGCGGTCGTGTTCAAAAATCTCTGTTTCGTTACTTGTTCATCCGTAATCAACTCCTACACAACGATTAAATTAGTTCGTACATATTTGTAATACATAATTGCTGATATACATATCTGCACGCCAAAAATTTCAAAAAATGAAACATCTTTTGAGATCTTCTCGTACACATGTTTTGATATAATTAATATAATAAGTACTTACGAAAAACGCTCTAACATATTCTTCCGTAGGCGTGATTGCTGCTTTGGGAATTCGAGAAATAATATTTGCCGCTTGCATGTCCTCAAGTTTTTTGTTTTGTATCCAATTTTTTATGGTGATAAGAGCTGGTCCAGTTCCGACGTGTCCAATGGCGTTGTGCCAGATATCCCACATAGTTTTGTGAACTGTTTCGTCCCTTTGACCGCGGGCTAATTCAGAGGCCATCCATTTGGACATTGTTGTCTCTATCTCAGCTATCTGCGTGACATTCATGGTACGCATCGCTCTAATCAGCATTATACATTTTTCTGATAGGTTCTCGTCTAGAATTGACGGCTTCCATGCAAAACTATTGTAGGTTTCGATTTTTAGGGATATCCATCCGATTAAATCGATCATTATTTCAGTAAAATTTTTGTCGGACTTTTGGATGCTGTTGCCATTGTATCCGACAAAATAAGGTAATAGCGGAATCTCCGGAGCGTCTTCTAATTTCGGTTTAGGTTGCAAGTAATCGCGTTCTTCGCTGTTCGAGTTGCTGCTGCCGTCATTGTCGGACGTCCGAGCTGCCGAAGAACCTTGAATGTCACTCGGATGACGCGGTGTGCGCTGGTTGGCGGACGGACTGTTGTAAATGTACACTAAGTTTCCGGTTGACATGAGATTGTTGGACACAGGCATGGGATCGGAGACAGTGCTCATTCTGTCCAGAGTTAAGTTTACCCTATTATAGACAGCGCCAGAGTATGTAGAGTCATTCATTTTAGAGCTAACGTGTATTTTGTGTGTTGTCACGGACGATTGAATAGTAAAACGTTTTAGGTTGCCAGAGATGATAATACGACTCGTACATGATCGCTGTAACAAATAGACGAATGCAAGAATAAGTTTTACTTATCATGTTTGAATCTTTTACATCAATATGAGATTTGGCTTTCAGGTTTGGGTCCTGTAAATTCTTTTTAATTCCAATATCTCGTGAACATATCAGTTCACTTTATCAGTATCAGATTGTTTTCTCTCATAAAGTGAACTGAGATGTCGGAGTATCGAAACCATATAAAAAATTAATGGGATGCAAACCCAGTAGATAAATCTAAGTTTCATTTCAGCCCCAACATCACCTAACTTTAACTTCATCTTAATTTACCTTACGTTTTGTTCTGTTTCCCTTAGAGAGAGACAAAGAGTAGTGAGTTAAGCTAAAAATTCAAGTTTTACGATGTTTGTGCAATCAGACCTTAGTGTTGTGTGAATATTTACTTGAAGTAGTATATGTATAGAAGTAATAACGTCCAAAGCGAGAAAATTTCATCAAAACTCTTGCTTTATACATATAAATCGCAATGATATAAAGTTTCATCAGGTCGAGTGTTATAAGAGTAGTCGTAGTAGTTATCAGTCAAAATCCAACTCACCGAGAGAGGACCATCGTTGGATTCTGGTTTCCATGCCATCCTACCAACGATACCAGAATGATACGCCATTCGCTGCTCGCATTTAGTGTAATTCTTCACCTTCATGATATCGATATGATGACCATCCTTGCGGAGATTTGGCAAGGGTACTAATTCTGGGTTCTCGGAGAGAACATTTTCAGGCATTGGCGTAATACTATAACGAACCTCACATTTGCCACCGACAGAGTCTTCCATGACTTTAAATGTACCTTGGGGCTGGCTGTCGTCGGGCATTTGTGTGTCCTCGCTTGGTATCATATTCTGGCCTTGCGTATCAATCTGTAGTTGACTCAGGAAACTCTTCAACAAATTCACCTCCCAAGTAGGTACGTCTTGATCGATCAATACATCTTGAATTAATCCGTTCTGAAGCTTGACCTCGAAGGGCTTTCCCGACAGGGAAAGCTCTTGATACTGAAGGTCGGTGGTATTCCAACCTTCCGGCAATACTTTGTTCACAGGAGCATACTGCGCGTTAGAAACCACAGCCCGTAGTGTGTCTGACGATTTTACTTGAACGGTGATGTCACCGTTGATGAAAATTCCAGAAGACTGATCATCTAGCTTGTCTAAGACCGCCAGTGTCTGACTTCGAATAAGATAGTGATATTCGTTTCCTGTTTCCCAAGCATTATTGTGATCAGCTATGGCCGATCCAACTGGAAAGAGAGAGCTGTTATTTTTTACAAGTATATTTTAATCAATAATACACAGTAAATGTGTAAAAACGTGAAGGAAGAAAAACGATTACTGAATTTTATTACACTCTTTATTTTATTCGCGTATCTGTGTAATCTTTGCAAGTATTGCGCGCTGTATATTTACTAGTTGTTTATTTTGCTTACAATAATTATAGCATGCTATGAGACTAAAACTTTTTCAATCATGTACAGTTGGTGTATGTTACTTCCTAATAAATGTACACCAACTCACAGTTACATAACATCGATATTTTAACATTGTTGTGTAGGAAATTATTATAATCAAGTTATGTAACTGTTAGTTGTGTAATATTTACGGGGTCATCACTTCTTTCAAAATTATTGCTGTAGGTTCACATTATTTCACATTATATATTTCATATGTCGACAAATTATTTCTGTAAAACCTCTGTTGCACAACTTCTTTATCTATGTATAAACAAAAATTCTTACTTCTCTATGCACACATTTTATCTTAATGTAATCATATTTGTAGCTTATTAAGTTATATACAAATTAATATCATGTTAATATATATAAAATAATTTTATCGCTCACAAATTTGTAGAATTCTTAAAAATGGAAGCAATTTCTATAATTTTGATCGGTTTTAAATTATCGGAAGAAATTGTATGTAGAAGTGTCAAATTTCAATACAATAACTTTATCACGTACTAAACAGAATTCTTTTAGACATGCACTAAAGCTGAGAAATAGTCGTACAATTTTCATAGAAATTTACATTAACTTCATTTGTGATATATTAACGCCTACTTACTGATTAGGAGAAAAGTCATATACAACCACATGATGTTACATGGATAACGCCGATTGGAAAATGAGAACTTCCTCCTCTTAAATGGACTTATATACGGTTCGTATGTCATGTCAGCGTGACCTACGCAATGTTCATTGGGTTAGATTCCTTGAACTCAAAATTGAATCATTGCATAACAAGTGATAAATGTATTTTAATCTTGTATGTATATGACGACAAGATTGTGATACGCATAGTGTTTTCAAGCAATATAATGACTTCATCTGAAAATATAATTCATGCAGTTTACCGATTTTTATATTTTAATATATCATTTTGTTAACTCAACTGGAAATAATGAAATTTTATTATGATAATAATAGATCAAATATCAAAATGTAATTAATAAATAATTAAATACTGGTCTCTAGAAGAAATTTTGGAAATCATATAATTCTCTTTATAACACGCTTGTGATAAAACTTAAAAAGGAAGATTATATCACAAATTATATTTTAAATTCAAAATCTAAACGATTGTTTATACCATGTCACCGTTTTTTTAATAAATTTGGTAGGTTTTAACTTTTACATGGAAGTTTTTTACACATATTATATGAGTATATGTAGATGTAATTTTCTTATTATTCAGTTCATATTAAAATAACAAGATAGCGCGTACACTCATAATAGGTCACTGATAATCTTTTAAAAATGTTGAATGTTACTACACTTGTAGAAAATCTGCATAATAACACTTAATGTTTACTTTGTATTAATTACGAAATCTATATAATTTTACATTGTCCTGTAGCCATAGCTTTTATTTTTGTTTCCTCAGAGGAAGCTTTGTTGAAATAACTTTTCTCCATTTTTCTTTGCAGATATTTGCAGAATGTTCCAAAACGTCAAAAGTCACATTAAAAAAATTTCGGTGTGTATGTCTATATGTGTGATAAAAGTGCCTGATTTCTCTAATTTATGTAAAGATTGAGATCTGACAAATTTTTTATTAAGAGTATCACTAGAGAGTGGTTTGTATTGAATTTGGCAAAAAGGGTTAATTTAAAAAAGTTAAGATTTTGTAAAAATGGTCGTGGTTACTCTAACTTCTACAAACTTTGAACTTGTCTATTCTATAGAACTAATTTATTTCACTGAGTTTTGTGTGGTGTTTGTACTTACGACGAATTGAAAACGATAGCAAAAACAGCAACGAACCCGTCACAATTAATTGTAGTTTTTATTATATAAGATATTGTATTATACTCCTAGTTTCTTATAGAATACATTCAATGCTAACGCACTACAATCTCGCGTCTAAGTTACGCACTGCGGAAAGCAACTCCGACATGGTAAACGAGTGAGTTACTTGATAACGGTAACTGCTGCGATATGAGAGTGGGATATTGCGAGTTACTGGCCGTGAATCCACAGAATCAAGGTTGTCCACTTTAGGTTTTCTGTTTAGTGCCACACCCATAAAAAGTATTTTATTTTTTAGTGGTTCCGTCTTGATTTTAAAGGATTTTCCTGTGAAATACGGCAATACAAAAATATTTCAAGAAGATAAACTCTAGTGGAATATCTTATAACTCTAAGGCATGAGATTTAAACTCACAATCCTCTTAATGTTAGAGGAATCTTTTCTTCTTGTAATATGATAATAATCTTATTTTTAGTATTTATACAATTTTTTAAAACGATTATTTTCTACTTTTAACCTTATAAAGTATTATAACCGCCTAACATTTTTAATATTCCTACATTTATCGTAGTCGCAAACATTACAACGAGAGATTCAGTCAATTGTATTGACTGAGTTCCTCGTTGCATAGCTTGCGATGTACGACTGCGATTAACGTAGAATGGGCTTTACAGTTCAATATCCGAAAAGCTATTAGCAAAAACGAACTCACTCTCAAATGTGGGCCAGTAGTCGCTTAAATAGGCTTTCTTCAGAAATTTTTGTACCTCATTTATGCCGAAGAGTTATCAAACTTTTACCAAATTGACTGCACTACACTACTGTCGTGTATGTTACACGTGTTTCACAGCTCGCTGCAAACAGGGCAACTGACGCTGCCCTGTGTGTCGCGAACAAATGACAATCGTGTAACAAATAACAAGCGCACGTGCTGCGATTCGCGTATCCGCGAAGATCTTGCGTATTCTCTTATTTCAAGAGGCTAGTCGTATTACTGTAATGGAATTTTCTATAAAAGAATTTATTTTTAATTATAATAGATGAATATGTGTTAAAGTAAGTGAGAAATGTTTCATATAAGATTTCTTGCTTAGAGGAAATGCTCAGAGGATTTCCCCGCTTATGAATAGAATATTTTTTTGGGGTGTTACAAACGGACAAACACGGGTTTTTTCGTTAGGTGGAATCATTGTCGTCAGTGAATTCACGTGTTATAAGTTTTTGCAATAAGAATTTTAATTTTCAGTATGGGGGAGGGTGGTTATCGTAATAGATGCTATGTATAGCATTTTAAAGATAATTTAGAAAAATCGCTGTGCGATATTATAACACGTGCGAATTCACTGACAACAATTCCATTCCGATTCCACCTAACGAAGAAACCTGTATTTGTCCGTTTATAACGGTACGCAGGACAGGATGGAATAAATTCGGTATATATTATAGATTCACATGATAATTCAAGTGGCCACCTCCACCTGTGCCAGGTCCTAAAAAGGCGTTTATACTGTAATTGATTTATATCTTAAAAGGACCGAGTTGAAAATTTAGTTGTAAATGTACGAGTATTTAGTTATTTCAATAACTTTTTCTCAGTTCAGAGAAAGAAGGAAAAACTTAAGTCTGAATAAAAGTTCAAATTAATTGCATAAAATCTAATTGTGTTTTCAGTTGAAATTTCAATATATATAGATATAATAATTTCTATGAATTTAATTTCTTACCTAATGACGTGTCGTACTTCTGAAAAGAAAACAAGTTACTAATAACATTGAAAACATAACTTTATTATTATTTATATGATTACAATTAGCAACATAGCAAAAATTTATAAAGAATACATATATAAAAAATAAAGAATTTATTATAACAACATTGAAAGTTTTCGACATAAAGATAGATCTCTCGGTTTAAGTTTTGCTCGTTTCTGTACTTGAATTGTAGGAAACTTTCTTTATTATATATTATCAACTTTTTTCTGTAGGCAACGCTTGAGGTTTGATAAATAAAACAACACGACCATCACTGCGATAATTTCCTTGAAATATATGTCTTAATGATAGCCCCATCTTCTATTCCTCGTCCCAGATCTTCCCGCTTCTATGTCACTGATGACATCGCTCGGACGATTCGACCTCGGAATACACGTGGATTGTTCGGCTCTTCGTTTGTTCTGCAAGGCGGGTCCTTGGCAGTTTTCCTGAGTTAGAGCATACGTGGCAATAAATTCTTCGGGCTTTGTCAAGATACAATTCTTAGGGACGATGAAGTCGTTGCCAGATCGCATGTCGTAGTTGCCACAGAGACCGCGTACGGCACTGAGATATCGGTACGTTGGCTAACAAAAATATTTCATTACAGTTAAATTTGATGTATCTCACTATTATACTAAATGCAATTTTTTAATTATGCACAATTTGCTTAATTTTTCTTACTTACACGAAGCAGGATACGTTCTCCGTCATATACAGCGTATATTTCATATTCAATTGAGAAAATTGCGATCATATCGTCAATTCGATAGATTTCGAAGGTGTTTTCTCGGAAGCTCTCATAATGTGAAGAGTTACTGCTTGTGAAAAGAACTACTTGTTCGTTAAACGTAGCTTCGAGACGATTACCCGATTTCTGCAGATGAATTTCTTGATCGCCGAAGATAATTCGGATCTGTTTACTGCCATCATCCATTTCTCGTGCCATGACAATCGTACTCATATATTTCGGGATGCTCAAAGTTTCTCCGGGATTATTGGGATCCCGTTTTGGATAAGTGGTCATTATCACGTGCCAACAGTTCCCTAATTTCACAGGATAGACCTTCTCGTCAAAAGTAACAACTTGAGTTTTGTCGAGAACGCACGCAGCTGCAAAGATAAAAGTCTCATGTTTAGTTCAATGTACAGGTAATACGAAAATAATTTTGTATGAAATTTCGTCCAATTTTCATGTTCAATGGTAATTTAAGAAAAGGTATCGACGTCACGAATATAATCGTAATTATGAAACAAAATTATTATTTATGACCATTACAATACGAATATTATCGTGTTTTCATAATGCCTGATATGCTATTAGTGCACTGAATACTGTTTTATTTACGAGATGTTCACTCCAATGTTAATTTTTACAAACTCTATAACTTACATCCTTCTGGTTCGACGTCGAACAGTTTATTCAGAACTTTTGAAGGGTCCATTTTTTGCTCAAAAATATCTGTCAGAGGGAACGTAATGCCAAGGTTTGATGTACGTAAGGAAACGATCGTATCATTATTTGGCAGCAATTTCATATCCATATCGACAGTGTTTTTGTCAGTAAGTCCCTCGCTTGCGTAAATTTCCAAATCTTTGTTCACATATGCTTTGATGCTAAGGATGAGACTGTTGGCAAGCATATAGAAGTGCATCGAGTCCATCTCTAGTGACACCAGCAAATGATCTTTCTGTCTAATTAATTTGCTGGCATTCTGACAAATTGGCAGCCAAATATTGCCTTGTTTCATCTCTTGCTGACACTTCTTAACTGTCTCAGACCTCATTGCCCTCTCTTTGGCACCATCGGTACGAGTCCAAGTTCCTTTGAGTGTCATCGTCTCTCCGTTCGTACAATTTCCAACTCGCATCTCAGTTTTAAATTCATACTTCGGTGTCTCCTTCATTGCTTTGTTAAAATTCAAAGGTATTTTTTGCGATAACTTTGTGTGTCCAAGAGCACAAAACTCCTCGGTGATTTCTCTACTGCGTGGATCTTGAGCATTCCAATATAAAAGGCTCTGATATTTGTTATCTGCGCGACTATTTGCCAAAGCAAGGGTGAAAACGTAATTAATACCCTCATTAAGAACACTTATGTCATAGACATAACTGGTGGAAGCATTTACATCTTTGCTGACTTCCTTTAGGAATTGCTCTTTTCTCTCCTCGCTCTCCGGCTGTTTGTCCATTATTGCAGGAATTGTTGCCTCCGAACTGGCGTTGACATCGTACATCATATAAGTGTCCCAAGTTATATTTACTTGTGAACTCGGGAAATGCAACATTGCAAGGCATTTTCTGTAATAAGCGCCACCTTTACGGAACACATTAACAATCTCTCCAGCAGCTTCAATTCCTCCTTTCTTCGAGACTTCCTTTTCAATGTGATCACTTTCTATCGTGAATATTAAATTGCCTTGTCCAAATCCTGCTTCATGCGGTTCTTTCGTGTTCACTACGCGTATGTCATTGTTGGGATCAGTTTTAAAGGAAAGAATGTTGTGTCTTGCGGTGTAAGGAACGACGCTGTGTTGAACGAATGAATGTCCCGTGCCATATCGATTATATTCGGGCGGTTGCATCTTAAACACAAATTTCTTCTCCTCCGGTGGGCGACTTATTGATAAACCAGCTGGTACAAACATCTCTAGGTTGACATCGATACCAGCAATATAATGTCTGTGCTCGAAAGGCGCGACAAAGCCAATTCTGCTTTGGATCTTCTCGCTATTTACGAAATGGCCCGCCACTGTTACCTCCATAAAGCTGCCCGTTGACGAGCTTCCAGTTATATGAGATCCTCCACCTCCAATTTTTGTGAATTTTGGTACCGTTAATGTATAAACAAACGGCAGGCCGCTTTCCGTCGGGAATCCCATCGTCATGTCATAATAGTATAGATAATTGAAGTTTCTGGCTTCAAAAACTCGGGGTGACTTGAACGACTTAACATACGTTGCGAACACTGTAATATAGCAATAATATATTATGCTTATTGATGGCAATATCTACAGTGATTATCCTTAAAATAAATTTTAGAATACTTACTATTGGCGAGTTCTTCAAACGTATGATTGTCGAAGGCATAGAAATGTATTGCAAATAAGGAGTCTCCGAAGATATTCCATTCGATCTGTTCCGGATCGTCGGGTTTAATGCCAAGCTTTTCAATAGTCTCTTTAATAATCAATTTCTTTTCGGAGTTATCTTGCATCATCCAGGGCATGTGGTACCACATATCTAGCAGTTCTCTGATGTTCGATATTTCATATGATACTTTTCCGGAAGGAAAATTAAAGCCACCGAAAGATTGTTGTACATTAAACTGTACGCCTTTAGACGTCATAGAGTTGTCACTGCCAATCGTTTGAAGAAGAGTTGTTTGAACCATGTTTAAGGAGGCGACAGTTATCTCCTGAAGCATGCTGTGAGAATAATTTTCAGTGTAAGTGGAAGATTTCAACTGTTTACTAGCGATACGCGCCTTGTTAGCGAGTTCTTGCAACTCCGGTTGCTTCGAATTAGCGAGGCCCTCTATGCTAGTCGTGACAGCAGAATTTACTTGTTTGTCTTGATCCTGATGAGTGAATTCTGCCATTCGCTGCAGTAGGTTCAGAGGTGGATTGGTCTTCATTATGACGTAGACAGCTGCGCAACGTAATTCGTAGGCCTCCATCGTGTTTATATAGATCTTGTAAGCGACAGATCTGGCGAGTCTCGGGAAGTTTTCGCCTAGTCTATTTAACGATACGACCATCATCAAACGTTGGAACTTCGACATCGGTGCGCTACCTTCCAGATACGGTTCGAAAATGGAAAGTACTTTCGGGTGTCCAAAATTACCCAATGCCATAATATATGTTTGAATTCGAGGATTGTCGCCTTCCTCGATGGCTTTTTTCAGTTGAATTGCCATGTACGGAATATACGTTTGAAGCAGTGCCCTGTCATTTTTGGGGACCATACGACCGAAACTGTAGACCGGATAGTAGCTGGATGCCTTGTTGCTTTGAATGTGACGAATCAAATCGGCAAATGCTAAAGGTGCGATTGTGTTCAAACATTTCTGTTTCCTTACTTGTTCATCAGTAATCAGTTCCTACACAGTGATAAAACATTAATTCGTACATCTACGTATATTTCATAATTGAATATAAGTATTTGGACGTTCGAAGATTTGAAAGATCTCCCGATGCCTTGTGTATGTGTGTGTTACACGTTGTTTTGAAATATATCAATATAAGAAATACTTACGAAAAACGCTTGGACGTACTCTGGCGTAGGTGTGAGTGTTGCTTTGGGAATTCGAGAAATAATATCTGCCGCTTGCATGCCCTCGAGTTTCTTGTTTTTTACCCAATTTGTTATGGTGATGAGAGCGGGTCCAGTTCCGACATGTGCAACGGTGTTGTAAAGGATATCCCACATGGTTTGGTCTGCTAATTTCTTGTCCTCTATCGTTTTGGCGGTTGAGTCGCGGGCCATCGTATCGGACAGTTTCCTCTCTACTTCCGTTATCTGCCTGACATTCATGGTACGCATCAGTCTAACCAGAATTGCATACTGCTCTAAGAGTTCCTCTTGTATTTGAGTTGCCATTTTGAAGTCGCTAGTCCCGTAGGACTCGATTTTCTTGGTCATCCAACTGATTAAATTGATCGCTACCGCAGCAAAATCCTCTTCGAACTTCTGGATACTGTTACCTTTGTATCCGACAAAATAAGGCAATAGCGGGCTCTCCGGAGCTTCGTCTAATTTCGGTTTAGGTTGCAAGTAATCACGTTCTTCGCTGTTCGAGTTACTTGAAGAGCTGCTGCTGCTGTCATCGTCGCTGTGACTTTCCTCGCTAGAACTGGTAGAACTGCGTCTCTCGGACCGAGCTGCCAAAGTGCTTCGAATGTCACTCGAACGACGCGGTGTGCGTTGGTCGGAGAACGGACTGTTGTAAATGTACACTAAGTTTCCGGTTGACATGAGATTGTTGGATACAGGCATGGGATTGTAGATAGTGCTCTTTCTGTCCAAAGTTAGGTTTACTCTACTGTAGACAGCGCCAGAGTATGTCTCGTCTATTTTAGAGCTTATAAATATTTCGTTTGTCGTCATGGACGATTGAATAGTGAAACGTTTTAGGTTTCCCGATATGACAATACGACTCGTAGATGATCTCTGTAATAAATATATGACTGCATAAGTAGGTTTTACTTTTGATAAGTGAGGTGTTTACATCAATATTAGGTTTGGCTTCTGGGTTTGAGTCGCGTAAATTCTTTTTCTGATTCCGACGTTTTGTGAATATATCAATTCACTTTATCAGGGAAGAACAATCTGATGTTGTAGGAATAGTATTTAGACAGGATCGGGAAAGTTACTTTATTAAAGTATCTAGTTACAGTTATAGTTTTTTTGTTAAAAATGTAACTAGTTACGGTTACAAGTTACCAATTCTGAAAAGTAACGCGTTACAGTTACAGTTACTCAAAAAGTAACGAATCGTTACTTTGCAGTTACTTTCTTGTAATGAAAATAAAAATATCAAATCTGCAGTTGAATTGTAATATGAAGTGTCGATAAAGCCCGGATAGCACAAAGCATTGGCGTTACATTAGACTTTATTCTGTATTCAATATTACAATTTTATTGGGCAATCTTGGCCAATACAATTTCAATATCAATCCAATATTATAATAAATAATCAGCTAGGTGCAATATCAGTGGTATATTTACATTTATTTTATGACCAATATTGGTGTTATATTGGGACAATTTTGGCCAATGCACTGCCACCATAACTGATGTTTAACCAATGTTAGCCAATGTATAGCTAATGAATTGTGCTTTTACGGAGGCGCTTATGCGCAAAGGCAAGGCCTATGCGATTTGTGGAGGTTCAAAAATATATAAAGTAACTATTAACGTAACTGAGTTAAGTTACAGTTATAGCTGGAGAGAAGGTAACGGAGTTAAGTTAGTGTTGCCAAAAAGAAGTAACTGTGACTGTAACTTCGTTACAAGTAACGAGTTACTTTTTAACCCTGCTGTAATTTTAACGTCGTTACAAGAAGCGAGCTACTTCTCAAACCTGTATTTAGGTGTATAACAGTGATAGTGTCAAATTACTTCTCTCTGATAAATTGAACTGAGATATTTACAGAGTATTGAAATCAGATAAAAATTTATCTTCCGGGGCTCAAACCGGGAAGTTAAGTCTAAACTTTACTCTCTAAGTTCCGATATTACCAACGTCACATGCCTTTAGCTTTAGCTTAACTTACTTTATGTCTCTTTCTGTTTCCCTTAGAAAGAGACAAAGAGTATGAGTTGAGCTAGAATTAAAGTTACGCGATGTAGGCGCAACCTGACCTCACCTAGTGAGAAATGACTCGTCGATCGATGTCGAATCGACATCGACACCGTCAAATTGACCGTCGATTCGACTGATAATTAATAAAATTCAACTCACCGAGAGAGGACCATCGTTGGATCCCGGTTTCCAATTCATTTTACCGACGATACCAGAATGATACGCCATTCGCTGCTCGCATCTAGAGTAATTCTTCGTCTTGATGATATCGATATGATGACCATCCTTGCGAAGATTTGGCAAGGGTACTAATTCTGGTTTGTCGGAGAGAACAGTTTCAGGCAGTGGCGTAATATTATAAAGGACTTCACATTTGCCACCGACAGAGTCTTCCATGATTTTAAATGTACCGTAGGGCTGGCTGTTGTCGGCCAACTGCGTGTCCCTGAATACCATCCGATTCTCACCCTGCGTGTCAATGTGCATCTGACTCACGATACTCTTCAACAAATTCACCTCCCAGGTAGGGACAATTTGATCGATCAATACATCTCGAATCACTCCATTCTGAAGCTTGATCTCAAAGGGCTTTCCCGACAGGGAAAGCTCTTGATACTCAAGGTCGGTGATCTCAGACTCCCAACCTTCCGGCAATACTTTGTGCACGGGAGCATACTGCGTGTTAGAAACCACAGCCCGTAGTGTGTCTGACGATTTTACTTGAACGGTGACGTCACCGTTGATGAAAATCCCAGAAAACTGACCAGCTAGCTTGTCTAAGACCGTCAGTGTCCGACTTCGGATAATAAAGTGATATTCGTTTCCTGTTTCCCAAGCATTGTTGTGATCGGCTATGACCGATCCAACTGGCGAAAGAAAGCGCCATTATTTTTCATAAGCATATTTTAATAAATAATATACAGCACATGTGTAAAAATGTGAATGAAGAAAAATGAATACAGAATTTTATTATACTGATTATTTAATTCGCAAGTATATATGTATATATATAAACTTTAAAACTAGTACATATCGTATGTTTTGCATTCGTTAATTTTTCTTACAATAATTACAGCATAGTCTAAGGTAAAACTTTTTCAATGAAACGCAGTTTGTGTATGTTACATCCCAATAAACACAAACTAACAGTTACATAACATCAATATTATAATTCTAAAGTCGAAAAATAGACGCGAAGATATCATTAGACTGTTTATTGCGACAAGTATTACCACATGCCTCAGTGGTTGAATTGGTGAGACACCCGCCTGTAGGGAGGTCCAGGTTCAAATCCTGGCTGAGGTAAGATTTTTGGCAATCAATTTCTCTAATTTAAATTGACCAGTTGTGTTGTTTATTAATTTTCCTACATGGTTATAATTTTCTGTTCAATAATATAATACATGTTGTGCATCACAGTTACATCGTTGAGTGGAAAATTACGATATTGATGTTACTTAACTGTTAATTATGTAATGTTTACTAGGTTATCACTTCTCTCAAAATTATTGTTGTAGGTTTATATTATTTTACATCATATATATTTGATATTATATCAAGAAATATTTTCTGTGACATATTCCTCGCACAGTTTCTTCATCTGTAATAGTATCTTTATAAAAATTCCTATTTTTCTATACACGTATGTTATCTTGATGCAAACACATTTGCAGGATATAACATTTTATATAAATTAATATTTTGTAATTAATAATAAAATTAATAATATATTAATTTATCGGTAACAAATTTGTGGAATTATTGAAAAGGGAATAAACTTCTATAATTTTAGATAAATCGTAGTAATAAGAAAAATGATATGTAGAGATTTCAAATTTCACACTAATCACTTTATCACGCAATAAAAATAATTCTTTTAGACACACACTAAAAGATGAAAAATGATAGTACAATTTGCGTAGAAGTTTACAGTAACTCTATAATATTGACGCCTACTTACTGATTAGAAGAAAAGTCACACACAACCACATGATATTACGCGGATAATGCCGAGTGCAAAATGAGAGCTCGTTCCTCTTAAACAGACTTATATATACTTCGTATGTAATGTCAGCTCGACCTGTGCGACGCGATGTTCATTGATTTAGATTCCTTGAACTTAAAACTGCATTGTTCCGTGACACGTGATAAATTATTTTAACCTTGTACGTACTAGAATTGTACTTGGTACATCCGCAGTATAACGAGTGTGATTGAGAGTAACACACCATAATTGTAGTGTACTTAGAAAATTGAAGACAAGATCGTGCCACACATCATATTTTCAAATAACAACTTCGCCAGAAAATAATGATTCAGATTGCCGAGTATTCATTATTAATAAATCAGTTTGAAAACTATATTAGAAACGATTACAATTTCTTATGTTTACAATGGATAAAGTGTGGTCTGTTTTTGAAAAATAAGACAATATGCTTTCTCTCAATGTATCAGTTTTTCAAAAAGAGAGAATACTAGAAGATTATCCGTTATTTATATTAACAACGAAAACCGGTTACTATAAATATAAATATTTTAGTAAGAGTTTGTGTATTGCAACGGAATTATAAAAGAAAACTACCAAAATGGACCTGTAACTGTAATTATTAAAATGTCACTTTTTTCTAAAAATTTCCTATTACAACATAGAAGGGAGATCAAAATGCAACTTAATTCATTTACTCATTATCCAGTATTATTTTTACTTTCAATTTATAATTGCATATCTATACCTCGTCTACATTTTGTAGAACTTGTAATCTATTTAACTTAATTGTTGTGGGGCATTTGTGTTTATGGCGTATTGAAAAGATTGTGGAGACAACGAATCTGGCACGATAAATTGTAGTTTTTATTGTCAAGTCAATGTAAGATAAATATATGATATTTATATTATACGCACAGTTTCTTTTAGGATACGTAAAATACGACGACATTGCAAACTCGTGTAAGTCGCACATTGCGCGAAGCAAGCAACTCCGAAATAGAAAACGAACGAAGTAATTTACTTTATAACGGTAAGTGCTGCGGTACGAGAGCGAGATGCTGCCAGTAGCGAGTGGTCGTAAAACCATGGGATATATTTCACACAAGATTTTAAGCTTTAAATTGTCTATATTCGGAAATTTGATTAAAAAATTCGGAAATTTTTACGATCATGAGTTAGAGTGAAGCATTTTGATAGTCGAGATAAAAAACACCTGGGACAAAAAGAAAAACGCGATAATCACAACTTGTTTGTCAAACTAGATTTATCTCCACTTTATCGCGATCTATGAATAGTCTCCGATTATCTAAAGAGATTGAAATAAGGGTTTAACCGCTGTTTAACTGTTTTAATAAAGATGATCATTAATATAATGTGTAATGTGTAATGATTTTAATTAATGCAGGTATTAAAGGAATTATATCAATTTCGAACAGGTTGGGTATGTAAAAGATTAGTATCACTACTAATTACGTTGAAAAGCTTTATTCTTGTTTACATTACTGCAATTAGTAAAAGAACATATTTGCAGAACATATTCCTTCTAAAAAAGAACAGAATAAAAAAAGAAAAAGTCGTTTCCCACTTAAGTATGTATCATCGGTATATCACTTCGCTATTTCCGGATTTTGCGGCAATAGAACGAAATATCGCACGGCAAGAGAACGTGCGACGTGGTAGGTTTACTGCGAAAATCTATGTTTTCGCCATGTTCGACACGACGTTTCAACGCTCGAGATTCTTCGTCCCTCGGTATACAGTAAAGATGAAATGTCATGGAGGTTCTGTACATGGGTCTGGTACCTGAGGGTCATGTTGGTATAGGTTTGCGAGTGAAACAGATATCTTCACTCTCTTCAAAGACCCTCGTGCGATCGACGGTGACATTCTTATCATCCTCATCGACCTAATCATCCTCAGAGACTCCGTGTCTCTTTGGAATGCGGTCTTGTCTCTGACGCTTCTCCGGATGGTAGCCCCAATTCCCATCCTCTGTCAACGGTCTTCCTGCTTCTCTATCGCTAATAACGTTTCTTTGAGGAAGTAGGTCTGGCTTTAACTTTTGACAATAGGCTTGCTCAGCTCTACGTCTGTTTTCCACAACGGGTCCTTCGCTATCCTTATCAAGCAAAGCATACATAGCGGTGAATTCTTCAGCCTTCGCCAATAAGCAGTTCTGAGGAGTGAGGAAATCGTTGCTGGAATCGGAGTCGTAATTACCGCAAAGACCGCGTATAGCATTGCGGTACTTATCGCTTGCCTGTTGACAAATATATTTCAACGTTTATTATATATATATATGTATATATATATTTCGTACAATAATATAATATAGTATAATAAAAACGTAATATATATAATATATATTACGATTTCTATGTTATTGTAATTGATTTAATTAGTTTTGTATTTTTACATACCTTTAATTGGACGTATTGAACTTTGTACACGACCTCAAGTCCATATTTGTCTGAGGTAACTTTGATCGATCCATCCGGTAGCTCGATAATTTCGAAAACAGTTCTACCATCTTCACTATTTCGATACCATTTGTTCTTCAACCAGTCCTTCGACAAATAAATTGGCAATGAGTTAACCGAAAATTCAATACGATTATTCATTGTCTGCATTTCAATTTCTTGGTTATTCAGGTGAATAACGAGGAACTTGCTGCCATCGGCCATATCTGCAGCTACAACAGACACTCTCATGCCTTCCGGAAAACCATCCATAAGTTCACTTCTGATCTCTGGATACCAAAAAGGAGCCATTAGCGCGTGCCTCACATTCTCTGTCTTCACAGAATAGGTCCGCTTATCAAAAGTTACCACCATATTGTTGTAAAGGGTACACACATCTGTGAAAAAAAATTCATTGATATCGTATTACAAAATTTTTACAAATAGTTTACATTAGATTTCATAAGACGCCTTTATCCAGTTACATTATCGAGGTGACAAAATAATAAGGACAATGAATAGTTACACATTTTAGTTAAACTAATATGATAATAACTATTATATATTTCCACGCGTTTGTGGGAGATGAAAAGTGCTATAGAGTCCATAGAATACCAACTTCGGTAAATTATTTTTCAAGCACTAATTGTTAATTAACGCATAATACACTATCAATACATTAACTTGCATTTAATGTATTGAATATTTTCAATATTTAAACAACGTTAATTATCTTTTTTATAAAATTTTATACTTTACCATTTTCTGGCTCTCCCAGGAACTCCCAGACGTCACTATCAGATAGTGACCGTTCTGTTGGTTTCCAAAATGGTCCCATGATAGGCATTGGAGGGGACTGAACATTAAGTGGCATCAGACTTTCCATGAAAGTCTCCGTATCGTGGGGCACCTTCACCAATTTTACCTTGATGGGATTGCTATCAGGGTGGCTCATGAAGTCTGTTCGTATATCTAGTTTCCTCAAAACTAGAGATATTATTTCGACACTCTGGTGAACCAGTCTCCGAAGATGTTCGTTTGCCGTCTTCAACGATACCTGGTACAGATCCCTCACTTCAGCAATCTCAATGGCCATCTGGCAGGCTCGTCCTACATTGTCTCCTCTTCGAATCTCTTCCCGACATTGTTCGGTTAATTTAGAGCTCTCTATCACAGCCTTCAGTTTGTTGCTTCGCGTTGCGTGTCCTTCGATACGAAGTTTTTCTCCTCCTTGGCAGTTCCTTCCAAACAGCATTTCAGCCCAGAATTTATCTGTCGGCGTGTTCCGAAGCGTATATTCGAAATCTAAAGGAGTACTCGGCGAACTCTGCAATTCTTGAACGTAGCAAACTTCGTATTCGTTCTGATTCTCCTTCGGCGTTTGAGTATTCCAATAAACGTAAATCCTGGATTTTTGGTCCACGTTGCTTTGCGCCAGGCTGAAGGTGAGAACTTGTTGTTTCTGCGGGGTATTGTATGTTATGTCGACTACATGGACTTCACCTGACTTAAAACCTTTCTGGAGAGTTTTCATAATCTGGAGTTTTCTGTCCTCACTGTTTGGTTTCCAAGATGGTTCAGGAATGCCTTGCAGATCCAACTCTTGCGGTTGTTCACTATCGTCTTTATTATCGCGAATTTCCATGTTATCGTAAGCGATGTTGAGGCGGACCTCACTCTTTCTTCCTTCTTCAGTATTTAGTAATACATCCAGTTTTTTATAGCGACCGTCATCTTGTTCCCACATATTCTGAAGCTCCTCTTCTAAATGTATGTCTTTTTTTTCTACGCTATCAGATTCTATCCAGATAGTGAGCTTGCCTTTTTCAATCTTGTTCTTTTGTTGTCCTATTGTCAATACTTTATCCATGTTGTTGTCAAGACATAAAGGTTGAAGATTGAAAATATCGTGTTGCGAAGTAAAGGGAACGGTGCTATAATGCAGTAATGAGAGTTGAGAATCCATTTGATCTTTCGGTATGTTCGGACGAACTTTCAATTCAAGATTTTGCCGGGTCATGTCGAGTTTGACTTCGTACTCCAATGGTATTTGCAACATTCGATTGTCGTCAGTACCAGCCATGTAATGCGTATGTGCGAAGGGTGCAATAAAGCCAAATCGCTTCTGCACTTTTCTGCCAAGTACGACTTTAAGAACGCCATTTCTGCACCCATTGCAAGATTCCACTTTTTTGCTCTTAACGTGAAGTTTTACAAGCGTTGGCATCTCCAGAGAAAAAACGAACGGCAAGCCGGTCTCAATAGGGAAGGTTACTGTTCTTTCATAATTGTAAAATGCCGTTGAGTGCATTCCGTGGTCCTTCTTCAACATATTCTTCCACACTGTAATGCAATAATTGGTTTAAATATAATTTATATCTTTAAAAATAATATAATTTTGAAGTAAAATTAAAAATACTTACTAACGATAACCTGTTGTACTGTATTACTGTCGAAGGGATAGTATATAAAACCGAATAATGTGTTAAGGAAAAGACTTCCTTCCAACTTGTCCAGGTTTTCGGGCTTGATCTTAAGTGTTTCAGCGATCTCTTCGGCGCGTGTTTTACGCATGAATTTCTCGTTCACTTTTCCACTCTCTTTTTGCCACAGCTTATCGATGTTATTTAGTAGCTGCCTAACGCTGGATACTCCGTATGCTGCTTCCAACGTGGGTCGCCCATTTTTGAAGAAATCGTACAAGGTACGTACGCGTGCATACATGGGTATTTCACTATCGTCACCAACGACAGTTTGCAGAGATAATCCCTGAATAATCGAATTTGCAAAGTCTATGTAGAGGCCTCCTGAAGACCCGTACTTGCTCTTCACGGGACTCAAAAAAGACGTGACAGCGCGCGCCTTGTCGTGCAAATCTCCCAATGCCGATATCTTCGAATCAGCAAGGCTCTCTAGGGTAGTCTTTATGACAGAATTCACGTGATAGTTCTCCTCTTCATGAGTGCTGTGCGCTATGTGTTTCAACATAATTTGAGGTGGGTTGGTCAAAATATAATGCTGTACGGCCAAGCAACGTATCTCGTGATTCTCTTCTTTGCCCGCATAGAGTTTGTAGAAAATGGTTCCAACTAATTTGGGTTGAGTTCTGGCTAAAGTGCCCAAGGAAGCTACCATGAGTAAGCGTTGGTATTTCGTCGCTGGCTTCGTGTTTTCTAAGTACGGCTCCAAGACTGGGATAATTTTCGGATGTTCGGTCATACCCAGTGCCATGATACATGTCTGAATTTTCTGAAGGTTGTCTTCTCGATAAGCCTGTTTCAGTTGATCAGCCAGATAGGGAATATAGCGATTGACTATGTCGTTGTTGTTTTTCTGGGTCATAGAACTATCACCACGTATCGAATAGGTAGTCTGGCTATTGCGTAGCAATTTGGCGAATGTCAACAGCGCGGTCGTATTTAGCAGGTTCTGTTGCGATATTACTGGATCTTGAATCATTTCCTGCACGAAGATTATAAATATTAAAATTATTTTTATTTATATGCATATAATCTTTAATCGGTGTTGTAATAGGTATTTCAAAATTAATTGAAAAGAATTAAAAGACGCTTGGTCCTAATTGAGTTATTGCAAACGGATACTTACGTAAAACGCTCTGACGTACTTCTCCGATGGTTCGCGAACGGTCTTGGGAATTTGAGACACAACTCGTGCCGCCTCTATGCCTTCAAGTTGTCTGCGCTTTAGCCAATTTTCAATAGTGAGCAAAGCAGGTCCAGTTGCAGCATGTGCGACGGCATCGCGTAAGACAGGCCAGGCATCCCTCTTACGAAGATGATCCTCTGAATGTTCGCCATTAGTAAGGACTGCGTTTTCTAATTCCTCGTACTGCTTGCGGTTCATGGTGCGAAGGAGGTTCTTCAAGATTGTGAACTTCTCCAGCATCTCTTGACTCAATTTCTGACTAGGAGTCCGCAGTTCGTTAGTTATTTGAGAGATTAGGTCCTGAGCTTCTTTCACAGCGTCAAATTTATCAAACATCACGATTGACTTGCCTTTGTTACCGACAAAGAAGGGTAACAACGGAGCGTTCGGAGGCAAGTGCAGTGCCGTTTGAGATTTCTCGTAAGAAAGTTCCTCGCTGCTGGACCAGCTGTATAATTCGCTTTCGGAAGACAAGTTCTCCATTTCCATCGATTCTGCTTGTGCGGAATTTTTACTAATGGTTGGACGACGCTCTTTTCGATTTTCCGTTTCAGAAAATGGGTTGTTGTATACATACAGCAAATTTCCAGTTGATTGAAGTTTGTTTTTTCGTGTATTTGTCTCGAATATTTCAACCGTAGACTCGGGGAGTTTTTCTTTTTTGGTTAAATGTAATCTTAGTATACTGTGGACAGTGCCAAGAGCGGGATCACCTCTTTTATTAGTGATGGTTATAGTACTCTTCATCATGGTTGATTGAATAGTGAAGCATTTCAAGTCGCCAGAGATAATTGCTTGAGACATGGACAGGTGCTGTAACAGTTATATGATCGCAAATACGTTTCATCGGTAAATTTAATCATTCTGTTTTTCATTGGTTGCTGAAGTTTGATAATCAAGTATAGAACCGATACAAAATAAAACAATTTTTTCAAAAACTTCTTTTCTATGATCTTTAACTACAATCGTCATATTTCTATTAACTAAAATATAAATCAAAAAGTTTATCAATTAAAATTTAACTTACATCGATCAGCTCACTTTGTCTACCAGGGTTTCTCTGCAGTAATGGATCGTTAAAATCGTAATGATAAGCCTGACGTCGCGAGCATCTGTCGTTAGTTTTCACTTTTTCAACTTTGTAATAGCGACCGGTACCGCGTAAGTGTGGCTTAGGTACCCTGTCTGGGCTGAATACATGGTAATTCTCGACCAATGGCTCTATAGCATACAGAACGGTGCACATGCCATTGACGGAATCTTCCACGCATTCGTACGCGACGGAAGAATTTCTGTTTATGGGAAACTGAGTGCTCTTCCTGTTGTTCGCGTTTTCGCCCTGCGTATCAAGCTGCAGCTGGCTGACGATACTTTTGATAATATTCACTTCCCAAGTAGGTACATCAGGATCGACCAACAAATCCCGGATCAATCCATGTTTTATTTTGATCTCAAATTGCTTTCCTGACGTGCGAAGCAGACGATGAGTTAGCATGCCTTTTGCTATCTGGATCTCTGGATTGTCCAGGAGTATTTTGCGTATGTGAGCATACTCAAAATCAAGAAGACTCGCCTTCAGCGTTTCTGGCGATTTTACATCGATTTCGAGGATGCCCTGTATGTGAAGTCCAGTATATTGTCCAGTAGGTCGATTCAACGAAACGCCTGCTAGTGTCTGGGTTTCTACACGGTACTGATACTTGTTGTTCGTTTGCCAGCCATGCTCGTGATCAGGTGAGGCCACGGCCACGCCGACTACGGAACAGAAAATTTTCCACATTGTAATAATTGGAATTTGTCTTAGATTGAAATGAAATTCTTATTACGTTGTCACAAAAGGTGGAATTTTGTACGTAAATGTAACTGTGCTTTACTACATGTTAAATAGTAATTAATTTTGTTGAGTAGGTCAATAGTATAGGTACTACGTGCCAAACGCCAAAATTAGATTTCTTAGTAATATTTTTATATAAATCGAAAATATTCTACCAATTTTATGCTAATTCCGAAAACTTGTTTTCGAAAATTTCACTAAAATGCAGAACATTCTATTTGAAATATACGTGGAAAGTATTACTATCCATAAAGTCGGTGTCTACTTACCAAGTAGGAGAAGGGTGACAGGGAACCACATGGTGTTATGTGGTGACCAATACCAAATACGAAATGAAAGCTTCCTCACCGCGATTGAATTTATATACAGGAAGATGCCAACTCAGCTTGACCTGCTGATTGCCACAGATTCCGTATCCGTGAACTTGAAACTGTATCGTTCAGGAACGCGTGACAAACTTTTTTAACCTTCCACGCGATAGATCACTTGTGATATTCGCAGCATATTTAAGAAAATGAAGATGAGGTCATGCCACGGACTTCCGGTCAGAACTTTGACTTCGTACGAAGATATTATTAACTTTGCCGATCGATCAAAACACATTGATGTCTATTAAGGTAGTTGTTTCACGATGGTAATGCTCAAAAGTTTCTTCCAGACAGGAACCCGCTCTCAATTATTACAGTGGTATATCTTGAAGCAATATTGTTCTAAAGAATACACTTACAATTAATACATAATATAAATTAGATTCGAAAGATTATAGTTTGAGGCTCTGTTGCAACATCTCTTAGGGCCAATTTCGCAAACGTCGGTTAACTGTTAACCAGAGTTCAGTCAACTCCCTATCTTTTTCTATCTAGTTCTCTAAGAAAAGACAGAGGATTAATTAACCTTCGGTTAGCAGTTAACTGTCGTTTGTGAAACTGGCCCTTACACTACATTCATGTCTACTACATAATTGTACCCATTTTTCTTAACTGTTTATATTGTTGAAACGGAACGGCCATTAATTTTGTTTTTTTCTGTCATTCGTTCTATTTTACTTTATAACACATTTATTTCTCATACGAATCTCATTCACCGTTAAGCTTAAAAAAATAAAATGTATCATCGTTTGCGTTTGCAAACGCAAATATTAAAATTTTAACATATAATAATTAGAGGTGTGACATTTTGATGTTATCTTTTGGCATTTTTTGCGTTTTGGTTTGCCAGATTGTGCGTTATTTTGATGTTATTTTTTGGCATCTTTTGCATTTGGCTTTTCCGGATTTTGAATTACTTTCATAATGCTTTTGATAATGCTGTGATCAGAGGTGAGAAGGGCTTCAATAAAACGACTTAGGCCCGGTTTCACCATCGTTGCATAACGTTAAACTTAGTTTAATTCGTTCTTTGTCTCTTTCCAACTGTTACTTTAGAAAGAGGCAAAGAACGAATTAAGCTAAACTTAAAATTAACAACATTGGTGAAACCGGGCCTTAATGTTTTGATAAAACAATTTACGATATTTATTAAGGATAAACATATGTTAAAAAATGTAACACAAAACATAACATATTAAAATAGTATGGAATAAATTACTGAAATTACATATCATTTTCAGGCTGTAACTACAGTAACATATCTATAAAAAAGAAAAACGAAAACTGTCTTAGGTATAAATCTCTTTGATTGAGGATACAATATTGACCTTAGAATTGTTTACTAAGAAAAATCACGATTTTCAACGTTATTTGCACGCTATTTTGCATGGTGAGTATTATTTTGCGTTATGTTGCGTTTTATAAACGTGTTAAAACGAAGTCGTGGTCTCCAAAATGTAAAGAAATGACATTTAAAAAATTCCTGGGGCATTTTGCGATATTTTATGTATAAAGATAATATCAAAATGTCACACCTCTAATAATATGTGTAAATAATATTTTACGTGTAATAATATTACAACGAATTATATTGTTACGTGTAATAATATTTGTAACGTGTTTCACAGGTAATATTTTTCTTACAGCACGCATGTCTAAAAGACATCTTTAAGTAGTTTTTTAGAAATACATATCTAAAGACGACTTAAAGACGTCGTAAAGATGTCTTTTAGATATGCGTGCTGTTTTGGGTCGTGCAACATAGAAACTTTAACATTTTTTTTAGAACATTGAGAGGGTCAATTTTAATTTAATTAGTCTTACTTTGTACGTATTAATGTAAAGAATAAACTGTAATAATTTGAAACAATTTTCACGTAAATAATTTTACGACTTAACTATCCTAATCAGCTGTTTTCTAGTTATCCTACTGAAATTTATTAAAATGTATTCAACGTATTTTATTGTTAATGAATAGTATTGTGATACATGTGCGGGACATTGGCTATTAACCACGAGTAGCGGGTGGGCGTACGAGTCGAAGGCGACATGTATCACATTATTTTTTATGTTATAAGTGCACTGAAAAGTGTCTCTTTTTTGACAGTTTCGTGTAAAAACTTTGAGACTAACCTGTCATCTGTCGAAGACGGCGTGTGGAAGAGAGATCGAACGAAGTAAGTTACTTTATAACGGTAAGTGATCGCTGCGGTATGAGAGCGAGATACTGCCGGTAGCGAGTGGTCGCAAAACCATGGGATATATCACAAGATTTTAAGCTTTAAATTATCTATATTCGGAAATTTGTTTAGAATATTCTGCAATTTTTACGATCATGAGGTAGAGTGAAGTACTTTGATAGTCGAGATAAAAAAACAACTGGGACAAAGAGAAACCGCGATAATCACACCTTGTATGTCCCCGAATCGAAATATAGACCCTCCGTAACGCCTAACATCGCACTCTTCTGGAGAGTTACGGAGAATGAACGGAGGGTCATATAATAGACGTTTGCTTATGTTGCAGACCCTCCGTTTACTCGTCAAATGGCAGTTTTTACCCATTTAACGTCTTCGGAGGTTACGCGGAGTCTGGCGACTCTCCGTTCACCCTCCCCACAATTCGTAGATTCGACGTCGCTGGCTGGATAAAACCTCAAAATACCCTCCCTAGACCCTCAATAGATCCTTCGTACACTCTTTCCGTAAGCCTCCGTGTACCCTCTGTAGACTGTATTTTCGGAGGTCACCAAGAACCCGCCTTACACTCTAAAGGTCTGCTCACATTAGAATAAATATTAGGAATAAGAATAAATATTAAATATTAGTGAAGTGCTTCTATGAAGTACTTCTATGAAGGATTTGCGAAGGGTGGTAAGAGTCTAACTAAAGAATTCGAGTTTAACTAAAGAAGCTTGAGGAAATTCCATAGAACAAGCGCGGAAAATAGAAAACGTATACGGAGGGTTTATAGAGTAAGTGCGGTGAGCATATATGAAACGTACGGAGGGTCTATGGAGTGAGCGCGGAGCATTAGCACGCCTATGGAGGGTACGTGGAGTCATGGCAGAAGGTACGAATTGTAACGAGGGCATATGGAGGTTTGATCATACTCAGAGGAAGTTTGAGGAGGGTCCCAGCAGTGATCTTGAAATGACAAAATCTCAAAGTGGAGTCCAAATAGATTATAAGCAGGTTGCAAAGTACGGCGGTACGTGCTCTTTCAAAGGACTTGGAGTGAACGCAGGGTATTCAGAGGGTCTATATTTCGACTCAGGTCACACTATCTTAATTCCACTTTATCAGGATCTATGAATAGTCTGCGATTATCTGATGAGACTGAAATAAGGGTATAATCGCTGCTTAACTGTTTTAATGAAGATGATCATTAATATGCAAAATGTGTAATGAGTATAATTAATGCGGATATTAAATGAATTATATCAATTTCGAACAGGTTGGGTATGCAAAAGAGATATCACTAATAATTACGTTGAAAAGTTTCAACTTTATTCTTGCTTACATTTCTGCAATTACTAAAAGGACATATTTGCAGAACATATTCCTTCTAAAAAGAGAACAGAATAAAAAAAGAAAGAAGTCGTTTCTCAATCAAGTATAATGCACGATCGGTGTATCACTTCGGTATTGCCGGATTATGCGGCCATGCAATAGGACGGAACTTGGAAAACGTGCGACCTGGAGACAGGCCTACGGGTAAAATCTGGGCGGGCGCCTTCTTCGACGCGACGTTTAATCGCTCGAGATTCTTCGTTTATCGGCATACAGAAAAGATTAAATTCCTTTGGTTTTCTTTCTATGGGCCTGGTATCCGAGGCGCATGTTGGCACAGGTCTGGTAGTGAAACAGAGCTCACCTCCCTCTTCAAAGACCTTCGTGCGATAGACAATGTTGGATTCCGTTGAACATTTTTGTGTGCCCACATCATCACAATCCTCCTTAGAGTTTCTGTCTTGCTCTCTGAAGTCTTGTCTCTGGCGCTTCCTCGGATGATAGCCCCAATTTACATCCTCTGTCAACGGTCTTCCTGCTTCTCTATCGCTAATAACGTTTCTTTGACGAGGTTCTTGCTTGGAAAATATAAGACAATAGGCATGCTCAGCTTTACGTCTGTTTTCCACAACGGGTCCTTCGCTATCCTTATCAAGCAAAGCATACATAGCGGTGAATTCTTCAACGTTCGCCAATATGCAGTTCCGAGGAATGAGGAAATCGTTGCTGGGATCTGAGTCGTAGTTGCCGCAAAGACCGCGTACAGCATTGCGGAACTTATCGCTTGCCTGTTGACAAATTTATTTCAATCTTTATTATGATTTCTATGTTATTGTAATTGATTTAATTAGTTTTGTATTTTTACATACCTTTAATTTAATGTGCTGTCCATCGTACACGGCCTCAAGTCCATATTTGTCCGAGGTAAATTTGATCGATCCATCCGGTAGCTCGATAATTTCGAAAACGGTTTTACCATCTTGACTGTGTCGATACCATCTATTCTTCGACAAAGAAACTGGCTGTCCATCAACGAAAGCTTCAAGACGTTTATTCACTTTCTGCATCAGAACTTTTTGGTTATCCAAGAAAATGAAGAGTTTCCTGCTGCCATCGTCCATATCTGTAGTTACAACAGCCACTTTCATGTCTTCCGGAATATCCATCGTACGTTCGGGATTTTCGGGATCTTGTTGCCGATAAGTAGTCATTATCACGTGCTTCAGACCGCCCATCATCACAGAATAGGCTCGATTATCATAAGTTGTCATCATATCTTTGTTAAGGGTACACACATCTGTGAAAAAGAATTCATTGATATCGTATTACGGAATTTTTACAAATAGTTTACATTAGATTTCATAAGACGCCTTTATCTAGTTACATTATCGAGGTGACAAAATAATACTGGAACAATGAATAGTTACACATTTTAGTTAAACTAATATGATAACTACATTTCCACGCGTTCGTGGGAAATGAAAAATGCTAAAGTGTCAATAGAACAACGTTTTAAATTATTATTCAAGCACTAATTGTTAACGTCTAATACACTATTAATATATTAACTTACATTTAATGTATTAATATTTTCAATATTTAAAGAACTCTAATTATCTTTTTTACAAAATTTTTTAATTTACCCATTTCTTCCTTTCGGAGCCCTATGAGCTCACTATCTGTCCTGGACGGTACTGTTCGTTTGTAAATCCCCAGAATTTCCCCTATTAGACGGGCCTCAACTTCAGTTACCTTCACCCTTTCTATGAGAGGTTTCTCCTCGGGCACCCTCACCCATTTTAACTTCATGGGATTGCTATCAGGGTGGCTCATGAAGTCTGTTCGTACATTTACTTTCCTCAAAACTAGAGGCATCATCTCGACATACTCGTGAACCAGTCTCCGAAGATATTCGTTTGCCGTTTTCAACGATACCTGGTACGTATCCCTCACTTCAGCAACCCCAATGGCCATCTGGCAGGCTCGACCTACTTTGTCTCCTCCTCGCATCTCTTCCCGACATTGTTCGGTTAATTTAGAGTATTCTAGATTTTCCTCCAGTTCGTTGCTTCGACTTGCGTGTCCTTCGATACGAATTTTTTCTCCTCCTTGGCAGTTCCTTCCAAACAGTATTTCAGCCCAGAATTTATCTGTCGGCGTGTTCCGAAGCGTATATTCGAAATCTAAAGGAGTACTCGGCGAACTCTGCAATTCTTGAACGTAGCAAACTTCGTATTTGTTCTGATTCTCCTCCGGCGTTTGAGTATTCCAATAAACGTAAATCCTGGATTTTTGGTCCACGTTGCTTTGCGCCAGGCTGAAGGTGAGAACTTGTTCTTTCCGCGGGGTTTTGTAAGTTATGTCCACTACATGGACTTTACCTGACCTAAGACCTTTCTGGAGAGTTTTCATAATCTGGAGTTTTCTGTCCTCACTGTCTGGTTTCCAAGATGGTTCAGGAATACCTTGCAGCTCCACCTCTTGCGATTGTTCACTATCGTCTTTATTATCGCGAATTTCCATGTTATCGTAAGCGATGTTGAGGCGGACCCCACTCTTTCTTGCTTCTTCAACATTTAGCAATACATCCAGTTTTTTATAGCGACCGTCATCTTGTTCCCACATATCCTGAAGCTCCTTTTCTAAATGTATCTTTTCTTTTTCTACGCCATCAGATTCTAACCAGACAGTGAGCATGTCTTTTTTAAGCGAGTTCTTTTGTTGTTTTAGGTCCAGTGCTTTATGCGTGTTTTCGTCAAGACATAAAGGTTGAAGATTGAAAATATCGTGTCGCGAGGTAAAGGGGACGGTGCTATAATGCAGTAATGAGAGTTGAGAATCCATTTGATCTTTCGGTATGTTTGGACGAACTTTCAATTCAAGATTTTGCCGGGTCATATCGAATTTGACTTCGTACTCCAATGGTAGTTGCAGCATTCGACTGTCGTCGGTACCAGCCATGTATTGCGTATGTTCGAAGGGTGCTATAAAGCCAAATCGCTTCTGCACTTTTCTGCCAAGTACGACTTTAAGAACGCCATTTCTGCACCCATTGCAAGATTCCTCTTTTTTGCTCTCAACTTGAAGTTTTACAAGCGTTGGAATCTCCAGAGAAAAAACGCACGGCAAGCCGGTCTCAAGCGGTAACGTTACTGTTCTTTCGTAATTGTAAAATCCCGTTGAACGTATTCCGTGGTCCTTCTTCAACATATTCTTCCACACTGTAATGCAATAATTGGTTTAAATATAATTTTGTATCTTAGAAATTAATATAATTTTGAAGTAAAATTCAAAATACTTACTAACGGGAACCTGTTGTAATGTATTACTGTCGAAGGGATAGTATATAAAACCGAATAATGTGTTAAGGAAAAGACTTCCTTCCAACTTGTCCAGGTTTTCGGGCTTGATCTTAAGTGTTTCAGCGATCTCCTCGGCGCGTGTTTTACGCATGAATTTCTCGTTCACTTTTCCACTCTCTTTTTGCCACAGCTTATCGATGTTATTTAGTAGCTGCCTAACGCTGGATACTCCGTATGCTGCTTCCAACGTGGGTCGCCCATCTTGGAAGGAATCGTACCAGGTATGCACACTAGCGTGTGCATACATGGGTATTTCACTATCACCACCAACGACAGTTTGCAGAGAAAATCCCTGAATAATCGAATTTGCAAAGTCTATGTAGAGGCCTCCTGAAGACCCGTACTTGCTCTTCACGGGACTCAAAAAAGAGGTGACAGCGCGCGCCTTGTCGTGCAAATCTCCCAATGCCGGTATCTTCGAATCAGCAAGACTCTCTAGGGTAGTCTTTATGGCAGAATTCACGTGATAGTTCTCCTCTTCATGAGTGCTGTGCGCTATGTGTTTCAACATAATTTGAGGTGGGTTGGTCAAAATATAATGCTGTACGGCCAAGCAGCGTATCTCGTGATTCTCTTCTTTGCCCACATAGAGTTTGTAGAAAATGGGTCCAACTAATTTGGGGTGAGTTCTGGCTAAAGTGCCCAAGGAAGCTACCATGAGTAAGCGTTGGTATTTCGTCGCTGGCTTCGTGTTTTCTAAGTACGGCTCAAAGACTGGGATAATTTTCGGATGTTCGGTCATACCCAGTGCCATGATACATGTCTGAATTTTCTTAAGGTTGTCTTCTCGATAAGCCTGTTTCAGTTGATCAGCCAGATAGGGAATATAGCGATTGACTACGTCGTTGTTGTTTTTCTGAGTTATAGTGCCATCACTACGTATCGGATAGGATTTCTGGCTATTGCGGAGCAATTTAGCGAATGTTAACAACGCGGTCGTATGTATCAGTTCCTGTTCCGATACCCATGGTTCTTGCATCATATCCTGCACAAAGATAATAAATTTTTAAATTATTTTTATTTACATGCATATAATTTTTAATCGTTGTTGTAATAGATATTTTAAAATTAATTAAAAAGAATTAAAAGTCGCTTGGTCCTTATTGAGTTATTGCAAGCGGATACTTACGTAGAACGCCATGAGGTACTTATCCGATGGTTCGCGAACGTTCTTGGAAATTTGAGACACAACTCGTGCCGCCTCTACGCCTTTGAGAAGTCTGGACGTTAGCCAGCTTTTAATAGTGAGCAAAGCAGGTCCAGTTGCAGCATGTGCGACGGCATCGCGTAAGACAGGCCAGGCATCCTTGTGATCCTCTGAATGTTCGCCCTTAGTAAGGACTGCGTTTTGTAATTCCTCGTATTGCTTGCGGTTCATGGTGCGAAGGAGGTTTTTCAAGTTTGTGAACTTCTCCAGCATTTCTTGACCCATTTTCTGACTGGGAGTCTGCAGTTCGTCAGTTATTTGAGAGATTAGGTCCCGAGCTTCTTTCACAGCGTCAAATTTGCCAGACATCACGATTGACTTGCCTTTGTTACCGACAAAGAAGGGTAACAGCGGAGCGTTTGGAGGCAAGTGCAGTTTCGTTTGAGATTTCACGTCAGAAAGTTCCTCGCTGCTGGACCAGCTGCTTAATTCGTTTTCGGAAGACAATTTCTCCATTTCCATCGATTCTACTTGTGCGGAATTTTTACTAATGGTTGGACGACGCTCTTTTCGATTTTCCGTTTCAGAAAATGGGTTGTTGTATACATACAGCAAATTTCCAGTTGATTGAAGTTTGTTTTTTCGTGTATTTGTCTCGAATATTTCAACCGAAGACTCGGGAAGTTTTTCTTTTTTGATTAAATGTAATTTTAGTACGCTGTTGACAGTGCCAAGAGCGGGATCATCTTTTTTATTAGTGATGGTTATAATATTCTTCATCACGGCCGAATGAATAGTGAAGGATTTCAAGTCGCCAGAGATAACTGCTTCAGATAGAGACATGTGCTGTAACAATTATATGATCGCAAATAAGTTTCATCAGTAAATTTAATCATTCTGTTTTTCATTGGTTGCTGAAGTTTGATAATCAAGTATATAACCGATACACAATAAAACAATTTTTCCAAAAAATTCTTTTCTATGATCTTGAACTACAATCGCCATGTTTTTATTAACTAAAATATAAATAAAAAAAGTTTATCAATTAAAATTTAACTTACATCGATCAGCTCACTTTGTTTACCAGGGTTTCTCTGCAGTGATGGATCGTTAAAATCGTAATGATACGCCTGTCGTCGCGAGCATTTGTCGTACATTTTCCCTTTCGAAACTTTGTAATAGCGTCCGGTACCGCGTAAGTGTGGCATAGGTACCATGTCTGGGCTGAATTCATGGTAATTCTCGACCAATGGCTCTATAGCATACAGAACGGTGCACATGCCATTGACGGAATCTTCCACGCCTTCGTACGTGACGGAAGAATTTCTGTTTGTGGGATACTGAGTGCTCTTCCTGTCTTTCGCGTTTTCGCCCTGCGTATCAAGCTGCAGCAGACTGACGATACTTTTGATAATATTCACTTCCCAAGTAGGTACATCAGGATCGACCAACAAATCCCGGATCAATCCATGCTTCAACTTGATCTCAAATTGCTTTCCTGACATGTGAAGCGGGCGATAATTTAGCGTACTTTTATCGAGCCGGATGTCTGTGAAGTCCAGTATTTTCTCGTGTACTGGAGCATACTGAACATCAAGAAGACTCGCCTTTAGCGTCTCTGGCGATATTACATCGATTTCGAGGATACCCTGTATGTCAAGTCCAGTATATTGTCCAGTAAGTTCATTGAACATAACGCCTGCTAGTGTCTGGGTTTCAACACGGTACTGATACTTGTTGTTCCTTTGCCAGCCATGCTTGTGATCAGGTGTGGCTACGGCCACGCCGACTACGGAACAGAAAATTTTTCAAATTGTAATAATTGGAATTTGTCTTATTGTTAGATTGAAATGAAATTCTTATTACGTTTTCACAAAAGTTGAATTTTTGTACGTAAATGTAACTGTGCCTTACTACATGTTAAATAGTAGTTAATTTTGTTGAGTAGGTCAATACTATAGGCACTATATGCCAAACGCCAAAATTAGATTTCATAGTAATATTTTTATATAAATCGAAAATATTTCACCAATTGAATGCTAATTCCGAAAACTTTTCGAAAATTTCGCTAAAATGCGAAACATTCTATTGGAAGTATCCGTGAAAACTGTTACTATCCACAAAGTTGATGTCTGCTTACCAAGTAGGAGAAGGGTGACAGGGAACCACATGGTGTTATGTGGTGACCAATACCTAATGCGAAATGTAAGCTTCCTCTCCTTGATTGAATTTATATACAGGAGGATGCCAACTCAGCTTGACCCGTTGATTGCCACAGATTCCGTATCCGCGCGAACTTGAAACTGCATCGTTCACGAACGCGTGACATACTTTTTTAACCTTCCACACGATAGATTACTTGTGACATCCGCAGCATATTTAAGAAAATGAAGAAGAGGTCATGCCATCGGACTTCCGGTCAGAACTTTGACTTCGTATGAAGATATAATTAACTTTGCCGATCGATCAAAACACATTGATGTCTATCATTCAGATGTTTTTTGTGTTATCATATATTATATTAAAGTATATTTGATGTATTTCAATGTTAATAAAAAAATATTTCTATCATTTGTGCAAATTTTCGGTAGGCAAAGTATAATTGTGTGCGTTTATTCGATGTAGATTTAAATAAATTATATATAATTTAAATTATATTTAACTTATAAATTTTACTGGGGTTATTTAGAGCTTAGATAGTATATAGATTTATATATATTTCATTTTTTATCTATTTAAATTATATATGTTTATATAATTTTATTAATCTGGATGTAATATTATAAGTATAAAATTTAATACAAAAATAATAATTTTTTATAATCACATTTCACTAACACATTCACTGTTTCGTCGAATAAACAAAAATAGAGTGTTTGCTAGCGATAGATCATAGATAATTTTCCGCACGTGTCGAACTTCCACATTTGAAAATTGTATATCGATGGCGGATGATTCTATGCCATTAACTGCTATTTCTTTAATTTCTTCCCCCCCCCCCCTCTCTCTCTCTCTCTTGCATCTTATCATGAATGAAAACGTCTGCGAAAGGCGAGCAACGAAGGAGATGTTAACGAATGTAATTTGAACTTCGATACATTTTCCATTGGAAAACGAAAGTTAAAAGTGTCAAACTTTGATCCACGTCGCGAGATATCGATATTAGCTGCAGGAGATATTTTCTAACGATGATTACGCGATCAGGAAATCTATATAAGTAAATAACATTTCCTGTCAAGTATTTTTAAGACTTCTTTTTCGAAATTATGATAAACTTGTGTAGAAGACTCCTCTTTTCATTTTTATGTACGTTCAACCTTTAAGTATGCATATAAAGTACAATATTTAATTAATATGTATCCTATCTTTCATTTTAAAGTATTTTACAAATATTCTACAAAATTTATGAAAGTTTGAAAAGATTAAAAATGATTTTGTTAGAATAAGATAATTGTAAACTAATCAGTCTATAAATATATATAGTTTTTTAAAAGAGTATAAAGTGACAATAGAATAAATTGGCAATTAATTTCTAGCTTCTTCTTCTTATGAGGAATAAACGCTTTTTTACTGCCTAATATCTTATCCTTTTAATAAAAATACAGTATTGTTTCGCAATTTGTCGAAGATAATATATGTATACGTATATGCTAAGTTAAGAAAATACAACTTAGCTTTTTATTGTTGCATTTATAATTGGAAGACATACAGCAGTTATTTATAATAACTTAATAATTTTGATAAAGATGTAGTAGCAATTTACCATACAGATTTACTTAAAATTTAGTAAAAGAAAAGAAATAGAAAATTATGATGAGTATTTTACAAGAGCGACCTACACTGGCCAATGCCTTTATTTAAAATAAAAACGATGTTTCGGTCCTGGATTCGGACCCTTTTCAAGTGATCTGTTACTTAATTATCCCTGATCTCGTATCGTTCGTTTGGCCAATATCTCTATGTTAGTAGAATATTAGTCAAAGGAATAAGAGGGAGAAATTTTGCTTGCACTCTTTAGTTGGAGAGTGCAAAGTCAATTGAAGTTGCATTGTTAACTGTTGAAACACAAGTAAAAATGTCCCGAGATGTGTGTTGGACGAGGTAACAGATTGAACTGATAGAACAAATAGAAAATTATAAGGAAATTTTTTATATTAAAGTGTTTGAAGATGTGATTTGTGTCACTGCCATAAAGTTTTATTCATTCGATACTTCGCCGCTTTTCAAAAGTTTATATATTAACATTGTAAAAAATTATATTATTCCTTCAAATAGCAATTTAATATTGTTAAATTAATATCATGTTTTTCAAATTTTATTCTATTAATGCTTTTAATAATTTTTTAAAATATGTTTTGTGTTTGGAGATTTCGTGAATCTAATATTTTTGGTAAATTTTAAGAGTTTTATTTTTCGTTAATTAACTTTTAAAAATTTTTAGGTGTTTGACTTTTATAATTTAAAATTCCAGAAAGTTCTGAAATTGTGTTACATATAATACGCGTCACTTATAACATGTTGGTATAAAGCAGAATATGTGACGCGACAACAGGATGTTACTACAAACGTATCACATTCATTTACATGTAGATAATTATTTCATTATTTGTAAATGTAAAATAACTGTGTTATAATATAGAGTTTAATAAGTTATTAGAAATTACAAAATATCACAAATTATATCAGGCTTCTTCCATCATTTTCTATTTTACTTGCATTTGCGATTAACTTAATTTATCTTATCGTAGATATTTTTATTCAAACAAAATATACATTTCTACATTCTTCAAACTCAACTTCTTATCTTACACTTTCCACATATTTCTTGCATATTCATTCATTCATTTGCTCATTAATTCACATACCAGATTTTTATTATATAATGTAACAAATCATTATTGATAAAAGAAAAGATATAATTTTCATATTTGAATGAAATATCTGTTTTTTGTGCATGCATTGTACATACATTAGGGTTGTTACTTTTGATAACATCGAAGATTCGATGTTTCGAAAGAATTCGAAGCTTCGAAGTTGACTTCGAACTTTCGAAATTTGCGAAGTTTCGAAGTTCGAATTTAACTTCGAAGCTTTGAAACTTCGTAAAATTTATTCGTGCAAGTAGCGAATTTATTTAAAGAACACTAAAAATATTATAAATAAAATGTACTTATTTATATACAATATGTGGAAAAATAGGTGATTACTTTTGAATTATAATTTTGAAGTAGGTACTATAACATGTATATTACATATTTGTTTAAGATCGCGTAATTAAATTTTCAAAAAAGATCAATTAAGTAAATCAATTAAGTATCGTATCAACACTTTAAAAATTCGCAAAAATTTATTATTATATCGCTAATTAATAATCATTTTATTTATTTAAAATTAATCTGAACTTGGATTTCTCAATTATCGAGTTACTGTCCGTGTACCTTCTCAATTCTTATCCACGTCGAACGTCTATCATGTACATTCACCACTTGAACAATATTTAATATAGAAACATTTTAAATAAATGGTAAAGCAGTTCTCATTGAATTATGCGTGTCTATAGAATTTTTATCGACTATATAAATTAATAAATATTAAAAAATAAGTAAGATCTGTCAAGGCTGAGGGAAAAGTCACAAAATCAGTAGATGGATATGACATTGACGCGAGTAATTAGTTAAAACGAATGTAAAACTTATTTCTCGTTTCATGGCGAGAATATATTATGCTCATAATGTGTACATAAGAAGGACAGTTTCGTTACGATCGTCAGCTTAAATAACGAAGTCAGGTACTTAGTAATCAAATGTGTCTAAGATTAAAAACAATATAATTGTAACATCAATTAAAGAAAGAAAACTTTAACATGCATAGAAATTTCTTACTAAATTTAAATTATTAAATGACTTAGTACTTTAGATTTAAATAGTTCATCTAAAATTTTACGAATATTATAAAATATTTCATTACACTGTGTAGTATGCAGAATTTATTAATATAATGAATGTAGAATATGACAAATAGGTCATTTCGAACTTGGACGAGATTTGTAAATCACATGATCACAATTTTCAAGCAAAGCGTGATTAAACAAATATGTAGTATACGTGTTATAATTCTTCAAAATTATAATTCAGAAATAATTACCTATTTTTCAACATATACATATAAATTAATACTTTTTATTTGCAATATTTTTAGTGTTCTTTGAATAAATTCGCCACTCGCACGAATAAATTTTTCGAAGCTTCGAAGATTTCGAAAGTTCGAATGTCGAAGCCTTCGAAAAAAATCACCGGTCCTATTGTATGTACAGGGTGTTAAGGTAACATACATGTCAGTACGACGGGTTGCCTATTCGGGCAGGCGCGCATGGTCGTTCATTACTGCGCGCTGGGTCGGCTTCGGCGAAATTATATCGCGAGATTAATGACAGTAAATTTGTTCAGGCACAACATGGATTTTGACTTCGTCATGACTCCATGTTGTGCCTGATCAAATTTACTGTCATTAATCTCGCAATATAATTTCGCCGAAGCCGACCCAGCGCGAAGTTGTGAACGACCATGCGCGCCTACTCGAATGGGCAACCCGTCGTACTGACATGTATGTTGCCTTAACACCCTGTACATTGTTAGATGAAAAATAGCAAATGAGATTTTATTATAATTGAATATATATTATTTAATAAAAATGTATAATTTTTAGTTATATAATTACAATTATATTATTACATTGCGAGGATCCTTTTACATTAGGTTTCATTAGATTCATGTCGTTAAGTCTGCCTTACTGCCTGCTTTTCTTTTTAATTTTTATTTTTTATTCTAACACTTTTTAATTATTTTATTTATTACTTAATTATTTTAATTCTGTAGTTAGTTTTGTATATTTGAGTTAATTTTTGTATTTGTATACCGCCGAATACTGTCCAAGTAAATGAGCGCGAATAAACACGAAGAAATTTGCTTCATAATGATGACTAAGCTAATGGCACCAATAAAGAAGCACTGTATACATATAGTCGTTAGCAATTATTTATTCGTGCCCGCTCACTTGCTTGTTTTAGATTGTTTTATACAAGCATATAAGAGTAAAGTCTAAGACATATATCGAAAATTGAAACAAGGAATTATATAAATGGTAGAATTAAGAATGTTTAAAATAAATAAATTTGAATCTAAAAAGAGAAGCGCAAAGAAAGAAAGACAAGGCCAACTAGGAACACTAGAATAATTTGCTTTAATAAGTACGAATCATTCGTGTTTCTTCGTAACTGTTCATTTGAATGTATACATATACGGTATCGCTATTCTAAGATCTCCAACTCTGAAAATTTTGGGTATTGCAGTTTTACTATTTTTTATTAATACAAAACGGGAAAAATTAAAATAGAACACAATGTAAAATTGTAAGGTAAAACATTATAAAATTTAATTACAAATTTCAGAAATAATATATTGACATACGTTACATATATCTTTTTTATTAAAATAGATATTGTTAAAATAAATTTTACTTTGTTAGGGAAAGTTGAGAAACAACTACATTTAAGTAAAAATATATTTCTCTCTACACAATTTTTATAACATCTGTTATAATAGTATCTTGTTTTCTTATTTTACTTAAATAATTCTAGTCTTTACTATATTTATATATGTTTCTGATAAAATTATATGAAAATATCATCGTAATAAGAAATAATATTTATCTTAAAAATAATAATACTTTTTTTAGATGAAATCTTCTTAAATTTATAATATGTGTACAAAATATGTTATTAATTAGCATGAACAAATAATGAAGTTCCGTTGTTCACTGCGGTGCTTCTATCGACTTCTATGGATGAGATCGTTGCTTTGATGATAGTTGTAGTGGTTGTCGGTTCCTGAAACAATTATGAATTATATCATTTCTTAAAAGTCACGCATATTTAAAACAAATTTTTGTAAAATTTACTCTGCTTCAGATAAGTTCTTTTTACTATGTTAAACAATATTACTTTTTAAATATTTTATTTTATAATAGTAAAGACTACTATAATCGCTAGCGTGTCTAAATAAACGCAAAATGCAAATTACCTCGTCAAAGTCGATGTCGACTTCTTCGAGTGTTTCATCGAGAACGGATACGAAATGATTGGCATTCTCGAGTGTGAAGACCATCGGCGGCTTCAGTTTCAAAACGTTATCGTCGGGCCCGTCGCTGCTGATAAGAATCTTCTTCTCCTTCATCCTGGATACCACATGTTTTGCCTCTGCTGTCGCTGGTATCCTCTTAATTCTATCGCGTACCAATTCGATGCCCACGAACAGTCCAACACCGCGCACGTCACCGATAATCCTTCGTCGCTTCGCCAATTCCTTCAGTTCTGCGATCAAATGATTGCCGACTTTCAAGGCGTTCTCCTGAAGACCCTCACGTTCTATGACTTCCATCACTGCGTTTGCCACTGCGCAAGATACAGGATTGCCCCCGTACTGAAATTACACAGAATATCTTTGTTATAGAGGGATATCTTCAGCAACTTTGAAAACGCTAACAGTAACATCTTTACAAACTAACCGTATTAAAATATTCGATTCCAGTATCGCAAAAACTACGCGCGATTTCTGGCGTTGTGATAACCGCCGCAACGGGATGACCGTTGCCCATGGGCTTGCCCAGCGTGACTATGTCCGGCACAACCTCCTCGCCGTATAATTGAAAGGCCCACAGGTGAGTGCCGACTCTTCCGAAACCGACTTGAACCTCATCAGCAATGCAGACTCCTCCCGCTTCACGCACGTGCCTATAAAATTAATTTCTTTAATTATATCCTTTTCCACGGTGCTGTTTATATAGATATTTATTTTAGTTTATGATCTATGTACCTGTATACATTTTTGAAATAATTTTGCGGCGGCAGAATCTGTCCACCGACCGACATGAGACTCTCCGCGATGTAGGCGCAAACTCCGCGTCCTTCAGCTTTGATATCTTTGCAGATTTGCTTGACATCTTCGGCGTATTTAACACCGAGGTCCTCGCCAATGTGATCGGTAGCGCGATATTTTCCTCGGTACACGTCCGGACAAGGAGCCTAAAAGAGAAAAGCACCAATGTATAAGACACATAAAGTGCATATTTCCTTCAACAATACAAACGATATAAATATCAAGATAAACATTAT